TTTGCACCTGAAGTTGGCAGGGCGAGTCCTCTTGAGGTCATCTTGCTCCAAGTCAGCTTCACTAGATCTGATTCTTTCAGAGGGGTGATTATCTGTTCCTCTCTAGGACACCGTGGTTGCCTTGCAAGCCTTAGCAAAATATGCAGCAAGGACGTTCAGCACATCAGGCCGGGTGCTTGTGAGGGTGAAGTCCCAGAGGGGCTTTGGGAAGGCTTTCCAAGTCAACCACCAGAAGCGGCTGCTGGTGCAGCAGGCAGCACTGGCAGAGGTCCCGGGGCAGTTCCTGGTTCAGGTCCACGGCAGCAGCTGCGTTCTTGCTCAGGTGAGGTGGTGGGATGGCATGAGACAAAGAAGAGGTGGAGAACTCTGCTTTCTCTCCCTGCATGATGTCATGTCTGGCCAGTCTTCTCCACTCTGACCCTGTAGATGGTGCTGAGGTACCACGAGCCTCCTGCACAGGCTGCTGTAGCAACCTTCACTCTTCGGGTCAACACAGAGCTGACCAACTGTAGCCAGGCCAATGCACATGCCCTCACTGTCCACATACTTACCAGGTGACCCCAAGGGTTGTTCCCTCTTCCAGAAAGACCAACTGTGCTTGGAGACTGCAGCTGGGAAAGCCTCAGGGCTGCAGTGGAGGGACTCAGCACTTGGGGCACACTAGACAGAGGGTGAAGGTGGAAGCGGTGGGGAAGGAAGGTGTTGGCTACTTCCTGCAAGAGGGAGCAGTGGCTGCTGTGTCACCTGTTCCAGATGGGCTACCTGGCTCAGGGTCCTCCACACAGGGCAGGGTGGTGGAGGGAAGGGGGGCTGGAAGGGCACTACTCTCACAGAGTCGGACCCTCTGACTGTTTCTCTTTCTTCAGCTACATTGGGAGCAGAGTCACATCCAACATGGTGATCATGGAGGTCTCCCTGCTGTCTGGGTTTGTCCTGGCTCCCAGATCCAGGATGTTGGTAAGGACTTTAAAATAAAACAGGAAAGGAGGTGAATGTGCTTGCTTCTATTGGGAAGTGTTAATTTCAGGCCATGAGGTAAGTAAAACCATAGGAGCCCTTTGCTGTTTTAATTGAACCAAAATATTTCATTTTCATATAGACCCCAGAAGGGCTACAGGAGATCAGCAGTGGCTCAGCTTCTCCCTTTGACACTGTTCTGCTTTGGGCCAGGAACCAAATGTGCTGCTGGATGTGCTAGACACCAGGATTTGTTTGCCAGAAATACTAGGTTAAGATTTCACAGAAAGACTCGAATTCTTGCAATTGTTTATTTGTTTTATTTTTTCCCCCCAGCTATAAAACCGAAAGATTAATTATTTTCACAGGCTCCAGATAGGTCTTTAAGAGCAGTCTAGCAGTCAGCCAGATGAGGTAAAAAGAATCATTACTGGTGCCTGCTGACCAACATATCAGTCCTCTGTACTACCCACATGGCCTTTTGTTCCTGGAGAGGGAGATTCCTCTAACTGAGTAGGAACAGCACAGTTCATCCCTAAGACGCTCACAAGGGATGTCCAGGAGGGATTACCAAAGACAGAACCCTTATGTGTGAGAAAGACACAGCTTATAGAGAGTCCAGCCCCACACAATTTCTTCAATAGGCCGGAAGCCCTAAAGAAAGTGCTCACAAATTTCCGTGTGCTATTGTTTCCTGTCCCAGCTGGAGCGCCAACCCATCATTAAGAAAACAGAAGTGACAGCTGATATGGTCTTAATTTATCTGGAGAAGGTAGGTGGGAACGAAAACATTTGGTTTGGCAATGCAAGAGCAAGAAGCCAGAGGACGAGGAGCTGTAAGAAGCCCAAGGCTGGACTAGGTGTGGGGAAAGAGCAGTGGTAGAGATGTGGGAAGAGGAATCTTGACTAATTTTGTTGTAATTGGTTTAGAATTTGCTACTTCTCACACATACTCTATTTCTAAAATCCAGAATCTCTAATGGATCAGAGAGATTTAGTGCAGGAAAATATTCAAGTTAGGGAAGATGAAAATGCAATGACTTTTTTTCTCCTCTTCCTTGCTAATTTCTTTCCACCTTCACAAGCTCAATGATGAATCTCAGACCTTCATTCTGCAACTGGAACAACTAGTTCAGATGAAGTACCTGAAACCAGCCGTCATCAAAGTCTACGATTACTACCAGCCAGGTGGGTTACAGATTCCCTCCTTCTCTGGGACTGGGACCTGGGTTCCTAATGCTCTGGCTGGGAAGAGATGTCATGCACTCCCTTTGCATGCATGTGTAATCAACTTCCTCATTTCCTTTTGCAGAGGAGCGAGCCTTGGCTGACTACAGTGCTGTCTGTAGTTGAGGTAGGCAGTAAGTCCCTGTGTGACACAGAGTGGCATCAAGAAACAACGGGTCACGGGTGGGAGAGAGGCAATGCAAACAATCAAAGATGGGAAGAAGGATGATAATCAATGGGGAATGTATATCTAGCTAGAAAGAGGAATGGGCAGTTGCCAGTGGCTAGTTATGTGGAGCTAGTATACGGGCTCTTTTGCAGCCAGGGAGGCAGCTCTGACTGAAGGTGGAGAGTCTCACAGTGAGAGTCAGGAAGGGAAAGCTGAGCATCTTGGGAATGAGAATGCAGAGCTATAGCAGCCTGTGCTAACAAGAGCCCTCAGACCTGGAAATGGCTCCATTCCCTCCACTCTACTATATTCGTTGCAGTGTAGGAAAGGGAGATTCAGGCAGACAAAGGAGCAAGCTGAAGCTGGGAAGATGTACTTATTTTGTCTTCGGGGATACCATATCCAGCTGCCAGAAGGGGCATGCCTTTTTAGTAGCCTGAAGCCAGAACAGGCCTGAAGAATCTTTTAACAGGATAAGACAGAATCTTTAAATGATACATGCTGCATCCTGACAGCATCCCACAGAGAGTGCTGCCTAGGGAGCCACCTCCACTACTAGCCAAGACAAGGCATCTTCCATAGCTTGATGATAACCACAGAGGAATGGATCATGCCCTCCTTGTTTGTCTTACCACAATCATACATAGTTCCTCAGAAAGAGGTGGAGGAGCTCCAAGATTCATGTTAAAGGAGAGGAAGTGCCACAGCAGGACTCCTGCCTTTGCTCAATATTTCAGGTTAGGCACTGAATGGAAGTGCCCTAGTTGGGACACAGCCCGCATTAAAGTTGAGCCTATGTGGTCCTGTCCCTGAGCAGGTGGACTGAGAGATCATAACAGTCCAGCAGTTGTGCATGCATTGTGAGGGTCTGCTTGAGGCTGGGGAGTCTGGTACACACCTGGGAAGAATAATTAAAGTAAGCATGATCCCTGCCCTTGCCACCATTGTGCCACTTGTTGATGAAAACCAGGCTTAGCCCATGGAGACACCATTTCTGCCATTGCAAATGTACAAGCCTTCTAGCTTGTCTACTGCTCCCTCCTCATGCTTCCCATGGTTTCCCTTAATACCTCCTGCAGTAGGATTCAGGCAGCTTTGGAGTACAAGATGCCTGTACTCCAACGTGTGTGACAGCTGTATCTCCTGTGTACTTCCTCCAGGCTTCTCTGCCATCAGCTTTTCTTTGAAGCAGTCTCCACGTAGTGATGCAGTGCCCTAAGATTAGCTCCTCACCCCACCTCAGCAGTACAGCTTTGCCAGTGGCTCTTGATAAAGGTCTCTAAATGAAACTGTTGGCCAAAGGAACTGTCAAACATGTCCCAGCTGTCCCTTGCCTTCAGCTTGTTTGTGCGATGATCACCTCCCCCAGGTACCAACGCTGCCCTGCTCTACCTCCTCATGTGCAAGTCTGCTGCTGGAGGGGCAGGGTTTGGCACTGTACATGTACATACATGACAGAGGTGAACAACTTATTTTTCCCAGGTGTTCTTAAATGTGCTTTTCCTGGTTTGGGAGAGAAACAGTAAACCTGAATAATCACTCAATCACACGGTTCTAGTCTCCTCACTTTTAATAAGATGCCAGGCACAGACTGAGCCTTTCAGAAACTTAACTGCTCAGCAGGGAATTTAAAGTATTTTCTCTTTGCTTCTCATGTTGTTCTGGTGGCTGTTGGCAGGGATGAAAAAGAACTAACAAAAAGAGACCACAGAGGATGGGTCTGTCCATTTTCCTGTGAAGACGAGAAAGGAGAAAAACATCAGCGTTCCTGAAGTATTAAAACTAATCACTGAGAACTCAGGGTTGTGGGGAGTTTTTTTGCACTTTGTCACTGAATGGGACTGCCAAGTCATCAAGGACAGGGCTCTCTCTGACTCTACCTATGCAAAGTCTACAGCAGCATCACAGAATGGTTTGGGTTGGAAGAGATCTTAAAGATCATCTAGATCCAACCCCCCTGCATTGGCAGGGACACCTCCCACTAGACCAAGTTGCTCAGAGTGCAGGGCTTGTGGCAGGCATCCCAGAGCAGAGCTGGGTGCCTTCCTTAGGTGACTAATGAAGCAGGTGATTTTCTCCATCTCAAAGGATGGTCAAGGAAACATGCAAATGCCAGTGAAGCTTACAACAGGTGCTGGTCAAGTTCAATCTTTCCCCCCACCTGAAAAGAGGATGAGCAGGTGCCATTTCTCTAGCATGGATCTAGCTGTCAGACTGAGTCTGTGAAGGGCTTGGCACTGAAAAGGAGTCAGGCCCCACAGCGAAGTTGAACCTGGTGTGTTCTGTCCACAGGGAACCCTGCATTCCCTGCAACTACAGGGAATGTGCTCCTCATATTTGTATTGACTTGAGGAAAGTATACATGATGCAAAATGCCAGGTTTGTTGGTAGCCCTTGTTTTCTGTAACGTACTTCCAGCTCTGTCATGAGCTTGCCACCTCAAACCTTCCCCTTCAGTTCTCCTTTTCCCTCAGTTTAACCAATGGGATGCAGGAACTCACTATTACCTAGCATTGCTAATCACTTCCTACTCTGAACCTGCAATCTGGCAAATTTCTTGACCAAGGGCCCTTGCGTGCCTCCTCCTCCCTCTCCATACTCTTCAAGACCATGCCTGTGATGACAAAATAGGCCTTGGGCTCTCACCTCACTCACACAGGGCACCGTAGCTCATCACTGTAGTTTCTTCTGGAAGATGAGAAGAAAAAAAGTGCTGGTGAGATACACTCACCCAAACTCACTAAAGAAACCCAGTATTGTTCCTCTGTTTCTAGGAGAGCTTACAGGCCTTGACTCCCCTCCACTGTCACATGTGAGACCACTGTTATGTGTCAAAGAGCATGTGCAGCCAGTCCCAATTCACCAAGTCATGAGGCTTGTGATCATTTGAAGTCTTAAGTCCCAGACAGCTCTGCTACAGTTACAGATTCCTCACTCTGAAGCAATAGTAATCCCTGATATAGTTATAGCTTTTTCTCTCACTGGGGACTCCAGAGAACATAGGACAAATTGTTTTCAGTGTCATTCTTCTAACGGGGCCCTCATCCTTCCAAGCCATCCCCTGGCTGTGACCCATCTGCTTTTGCTGCCTCCTATAAAATGAGTATATAAAAGCACATCTCTGAGCTTCCTCCTCCTCTCTTCTTGGGAGAGTTAGACCCTCAGTGGATCTGAAATTTCTGGGGCCAGAGAGAGAAGTATCTACCATTTTTAACCCAAATTTTACCATTTAAACCCAAATTCATCACTAGAGAGCTTCTAAGGGACAGTCACATAAACATGTCAGGGATTGTATTGTCTTAGACTTGAGAACTTCAGAACACTTCTTTCAGTGGTACATATGACTGGCTTCTACAGCATCTGAGCTCACCTGGCATGTAGTAGTCATAAACCTTGATATTAGCTGGCTTACGATCCTTCACTTGCATGTCCTGCTGCATCAGCAAAGTGTAGGTGTGAGGCTCTCTAGTCAGCTAAAACCAAGACATACAAGGATTACAGCCAGAACTGAAGAATGACTTGTAAGACAATCCTTTCCACCTGTTCTCACTCAGACTCCATGGTGACCTCACCACTGTGACAGACCTGTTTTGCTTTCTAGTCCACCTCAGAAATATCTTTTACTTCACATTCATTCATGCCAGGACTTTTTTCTGGTGCTGTTTAGGTAGGCATGTAGCTAGAGAAAGGCTTCAGTGGATGTTAATCTGTTGACTAATGAGGCTGTGGAACATGCACTGCTGTTTACGTAACAATCTCGTTTAATTTTGAGCAAATCCCATGAGCAATCTTGAATACTTCCTACTTCAGGCTGCTTGAGGGCTTTTGAAGAATTCAGGCTTGCTTAAGTTTATTAGATGTATCCTACTACTACTTCCCAGTCTTGATCAGACACAGTGTATGGACTTTCAGCAGTCTCTGAACAGGGCCAACAGCTGTGGGCTTAATGTCAAAGTTAGTCTCATTTCACTCAAGTGACCCTGTATACTGGCCCTTCAGCTACTGCAGGGTGACTCAACATGCTTCTCCAGGTCAGCAAATGTGGCTGGTATGCAGGACCAGCTGCTCTGAATACTTAAAATACTGCTGGAATCAAATACAAGAGAAAGCTAAATGCTATCTGTCAAATTATTATGTTAGCCTCAATTCCACTCACTTCCTCCAAGTAGACAATGACTCGGTCAGCTTCACTTTCAACTTTCTTCACTAAAGGCATTTTCTTCAGCTGAAAAAAGGGGGGGAAATGTCAGAAAGAGTCTAACATAAAGCAGAAATATTCAGGGACATTTGTCCCTGTGAGAGCATAGGGAAAATATTCACATGGCCAAGGAAGGCCTTGGGGTAGGGGAAGACAAGATGTTGCCTGGAAGAGACTTTGGATATAAAGATTTCTTGGGAGCAAGTGAACCATGTTTCTCTGCCCACAGGAATGATCACAGTTCTTCATAAAATCCTCCATGATGGACATCTATCACCATTCCCTCCCCAGCTGGACACAAATTCATAGTCTCACCTCTTCCAGTGAACTTGCCACGGGGCTGTATCCAGAGAGCAGCTCCACTTGGATCAGGACCATGTTGGTGGACACACGATTCCCTGTGTAGCTGCAGCAGGAACCCAAGCGACAGCACTAATGTTACTTTCTAAGCCATGATCTCCAGATACTTCAGCTAAGCTTTGGTACTCAGGTGGGGGAATCTGCTATTCCTTCCAGTGTTTCTCCTGTAAGCATAGCTGTTCCTGTACTGTAATAAATCTTTGTGCTTCCCCTGATCTCTCTTTAAATTGTGCAAAGCCAAGGAGAAAAAATTCCTTGGAAGGCTACTTCTCTAGGCATGGCAGGGAATATCACATCCTCCACCTGCTCTCTTGGCAAACCTATCCCGAGTCAGGCATAGGGGTACAACAGAGTGGTGTGAAAGTCAACCAGGAGTAGAGGAGGGAAGACTTCAGAAGAAGTGTCACCAGTCAGTCCCATGGAACCTTCGTATCACTAGTGTTCTGAGACCTAATCCTAGAAAGGGGTGAGACCCGTAGACCTTGTGAGAACTTGTGGTGACTGGCACAATAACAAGATGGGGGTATAGCCTGAGACATCACTCTGGGGCCTTCACCCAGCTGAGGAAAGCATAGTTATATGTATGAGGATATCTTTGAACTTGGACCTCATGAGGGAAGGGGAATCCTGGCTGCCAAGAGACTGGTGTGGTGCCAGAAGCCTCTTAGCACAGGGGTGGCAATCTGAACGTCTCCTACCGAGCATGAATGGTGACAGGGAACTGGGTGGTGTGAGGTGCAGTGCACTGTGTCTGCACAGACATGGCAAAGGCAACGTCGCTCCTCGGCGGGGGGATGTGGTAGCGCAGAGTGGCCTGTCAGAACAGAGAGAATCTGGTTGGCAGAGAAGAGCAGGTTTTTTGCTGAGGAGGATCTTTGCCTAGTGTTTGCCTACTGTTTGCTGTCTTGCACTGGTTGAAGAGCAAACTATGTGGAGGAAGCAGAGGTTCTGCTGGTGCACCACTCCTGGTGGTGCTCACTGGGCTTCTTGAGGAGAGGTGCAGCTCTGACTGGGTGGAGATGATCCAGATTTCATTTGGGGAATTGCAGGTATTCCTACCAGCCTTGAAGCTCAGATTCTTGCAAGTCATTACAGCAGTCTGTTTTCAGTCTTGGCTAAGTAGCAAGGTGAGAGGTCCCCTGGCTTTAAAGGCTTTTCCCCAGGCACACCTTTTCTCCTTGGCTGGGCTTACCTGTAAGTAGAGGCACCCATGGCCCTGCACACGCACATCATAGTCCTGGGAAATGTCTGGCAGCTCCACCGTCTGCAGTAGGAGACGATTGTTGTTGTCTACTTGGAAGTTTTGGTTGAAACCCTCAGAGGAGAGAGAAACTTGAAGATCAGGGCCATCTTTGCTGAAGGTCTTAGTTGCGTACAGGGACAGGGCTTCCAGGGCAACCACCGTGTCCTGAAGAAAGAAACACACACTGCACAAAATAATATTGCTGCTTCCTGTGCATGGTCAATCCTTGGCCTTTCCCTCCCTCATACTGCAGCTACAGAGCAGTAAGGGTTGAGCTTTCTCCTTGGACTTCTAGTACGGGATTAGCTCAGAGGAATACAAATATTTATGCCTTCCCCACCCCCAAAAATGCATAATCAGTAAATCCATTTTTTTTTCCTGTCTTTTTATTATTATTATTTGTCTTTTTTTAAATTATTATTATTTTTATTATGGGCTATGCTAGAACCCAGTGCCCTGCCAAAGCATAGCTGACAGCCAGTTGTCTGGTACTGATGGCTCAATGGAATTACCTGTGTCGAAACAAAGCCTCCATAAGGGTTTTGCTGCTTGGTGAGCCAAGACACAATGTGGGATACCTTTCTTCTTTCATCTGAAGACAAACTTGACTTTGACAGGTGAGCCATGAGGATAGTAGATGTCAATTCTACATCAACAGATGGAGCCTGATACCAATATAGGGAATCTTCTTCCTGTTTAGATTGCTGACTCCAGAATATTTGGCCATCTAGAGGTGAAGTGGGAAATGGAGGGAGTGTGTAGCTGTATCTAATGATCTTGGCATCTTATTTAACCCCTGTACCTAGGTACGGAGTGAACATGCACACTGGGAAAAAATATGGGTGCATATCTTACTTGCCCAACACATCCTGCTTTTCCCAGTAAAAACCTAAGCTTGCCATCTGGGAAGGAGCTCTACAACATTCATGAAGCTCCCCTGGTTTGGATGACTGGAAGAGTGGGGCTGCAACAACATCCATAGAGCAAGTCTGTCTCACAGTATAGCCTGTGACAGCTTGGCTAACAGACTATCCAAGCCTTGGGCTTGCCACAAAACTCTGCCAGTGTCCCTGCTGCTGCCTTGCATTCCCTTGGTTGTTCAGCTCTAGGATCCCCACACAGTTCTGCCTATAACCTTCTCTCCTGCCCCATAGTCCTTAGTACCTGATATTATGGCTGCCTTATCCAATCTTTTGAGGATTTTCTGCCTGAGGTCCTTATCACCGGCTACTGCAAAGGCATTTGCAGCTAGTGCCAGGCTGTAGAGGTTGGAGCTGCCAGTATCAGCATTGACCAGGTCCTTTATACATTTCAGAGCTTTTGACACAACTGGATCCTAGGATAAAAAGGAAACCACACAAGTTGCTGGCAGAGTGTGTGCAGAAGGAGTGGTCTGCAGCCTTGATGGGTGCAAAGAAGGATGGAGACAGGGACAGGACATGCAGGGAGAAAACTGGTAGCACACCCATGTGTGCACAGAGTGCCAGAGCCCTGAGTGCCAAGGGGCTGCACACTCAGCCCGTCTCTCCTGCAGATACTCACAGAGATTGGCATCCCGGAGCGTAGGAGAGCGGTGACGATGGCAGAGCTCAGGCCCAGGCCTTCCTCCACTGCACCCTGAAGCCACCACAAAACAGAGAAGAGGAGGGCTGCCGTGAGAAGGGAGAGGGAGACATTTTTCAGTGCCTTTGGCTCTCCAAGCAAATTCCAAGCTAGCACAGGCAACAGTGCTGGTCCTATTCCTCCTCTAAGGAAGTGCCAGTGCTAATATCGGCTCGTGGTCCTGCTTGCTGGAGCACTTCTCAGCCATGGTGCCTCAAGCTCCTCTGGATAGCTGATTCCCTCCCTCTGCTGAACACATTCTCCTTTCCTCTCCCCTGCAAAAGATTTTAAATAGCAGATTTCTGTGCCAGGGAAAAGTGATGTTCCCACAGCCCCACTGCAAGGGGGCACCTCACTTGAGGGCCAGGACTGTGAAAAGGGTATGAAGGAGCAAAATAATAGTTATTTTTTGAAAGGGGTAGTGAAAACATACCATATTCTTCATGTGGAGGGGTAATTATGTGAGGTTCTATCCATCAAACTGCTGCTGGCTCCACTTTGGTGGTGCTCTGTGTGTGTCTGTGCAAGCACAAATGCTGTGTTTCTGAGTGTATAGGGAACATACCTGGCAAGGTGGATCCCACATGTGTCATCAATCTCCATTCACTCTATTTCTGACTCAAAGAGCTTGAAAACCCTTTGTTGCTTTTGGTTTTTTTGAGGCATGTATTATCTTTTGAGAAGGGGCGAGGGCAGGGCATGTGGGGATCATCAAATGAAAACCTTGCATTCATAACTTTAGAAACTGTCACCATGACTAGAGCAAAACCCTGAGTGTCACTCTAGGGGTGATTTTGGGCACATCAGAGTCTTCCTGTTGCAGTGGGGTTTGTCTGTTCTTGGCATGCAAATTGGGCCAGAAAGTGAAGGAGTTCTGAGTACATAAATGCTTAGACTTTATAATCTTAAAGATCTTTTCCAACAAAAATTATTCCATGATTCTATAATGAACAGCCAGGACATGTCATACCATCAGACCATTGTTGAAGAGCTTTCCCACACTCTTGAAGCAGCCAGATGGAGTCTGACTTTTAATCAGGGCACTGGCAGCATCATTTATATTTTGCTCATCTATGTGGATGAAGTTTCGGGCTTGGCTGAAGGTCTTGAGGACAAGGGCAGTAAGCCTAGAGCCAAGGAAGAGAGAAGAAAATCACAAACTAAACCAGTCACTGATGCTTATCTTCAGTAGGAGACAGGAGCCTCTGTGTCTTCCGTTATCTCATTAATGGAGAAATGCCAGCAGGCCAGAGCCTCTGTGCAGATGGAGAATTGGAAGCAATATGCATGAAATAGATACTCTTCAAGCTCCAGCTTGAAGCTTGAGCGTTTGCAGTAAGAGGATGTTTGAGAGATAAAAAAATCACTGACAGTTCAATGCCTCCCCTGGACCTCTGCCAGTTCCAACAGGGTGCACGTGTGATTCAAAGCCAGGATGGCTGATATTTAGGGAGTTCCTTCAGGCTTTTTCCCAATCCTGTTTGGACACAAAGCACTCTCAAAAACCTGGGAAGAAGGCATTTTAATAGCCAAGTTATGAGAATATCCTTCAGTTGGGGTGCCCAAGGACAATCAAACAGTTCATTGCCATGGTTCTCTTCCAAAAAATCTCAGGAGCAGTTTCTGTCCAAAACACCATACCTCCATACTCCCTCAGTTTTTCCAGGCCAAAATCCAAGGCAACTTGAGTCTGACCAAGTCAAGCTGTTCTTCAATCATTTCTGGATATCTCTGCTTACCATGTGTTCCCTGTCTCACTTCCCTCTCCAAAGGCACTATATGAGCCATCTGTGTGCTTGTACAGGAGTTGCCGCTGGTATCCTGTGGGTAGAGAAGATGCTCAGTGTTTATTGTCTCCTCAAGGTTATAACCTCCCCTGCCAATCCTGCTGCTCATTATAAAGAGCATTGTCTCTGAGGAATTCAGCAAGGGGCTTTCAGAGGGGTGCCATGTACTCCTTGTTCAGCTGAGACACAGCAGCCTGATTTACACTGCTGCAACTTCCGTGGTGTCAGGAAAGTGACACTGCACAAATCTTGTTGAGCCCCAAGGCTCTACTGAGATCACCACCATGTAGTGGACATCAGCAGCTTAATAACCCAACATGAGCAGAAGTTTACTCACCACTTTCCAGATAGCCAATTGCCTTCTGTTTGATTTCTGGAGTCAGTTGTCCTGTTTCTTCAAGATAGCGTGTGATAAAGACATTAGGGGCAAAATGAACCATGTTCTGCTCACCACAGCCACTGGACATCTGAAGGAGCTCATCTATGTTGTCCAGAGCTAACCCCAAAATGTCACCTGTAGAAAAGAATCACAGCTTTGGGAGCTTTACTGTTCTTGCATGTAAAAAAAAATAATTGGTCTCATCTACAACATGCCAAGGCTGGTCTAAGTACATCTCTGCTCACACTAGGGTGACTTTAATGTATATAGAGTTCTGTAGGAACAGTGATGTGGTACTTGTCTATCTTTCTCTTGGCTGGGTGAAATATTGCATCCATCTGGCCCAGTGTCATTTGTATAAGAGGGATGAGATGCTTCTCTGAAAGATATAAGGACCTAGTATCACACCTCAGTGTACAAATTCCCTCTTGTTTCTCTGTTAGCTAAAGCAGATACGATGGCACCAAAAGAAAAGACTCCTGTGGTGAAAAAATATTACTTTCCAAGACCCCCCCAAAACTTACCTAAGAAAGAGATGTGGGCTCTCTCCGACCCCAGGACCCTGTTCTCTGGCACAGTGAATGTGATTGTCTCTGAAGCTGAAGTTCCTGCAAACGGCAAAAGCATCAGAACAACAGGCAGGAAGGAGATGGCAGACTCAGAGGCATCCCCAGGAGATGGTGTAAACAAGGCTGGGATCAGCTCATCAGCTGCTGAAATCATTGTTCGAAAGAGAGGATGGCACCGACATCAGGCCACCCACTGATGGGTGACTGTGCTGTGGTGAAGCAGGGGCTTGGTGCTGCTAGGATCTTGTAGTCCTGGATGGAGTTGAATGGCTTTGCTTCCCCATAGAAACTTAAAAATCCCTGACTTTACAGTCCTCATTCACCTCCAGATAGTCCTAGATTTGTTCACAGACCACACTATTTCAGTTTGGTCTCCTTGTTCTGAGTGCTCGTACAGCCCCAGTCATCCCTGTCTCTAGGATGCCTGCACCTACCTGTAGGACACAGGAATGAGGTGTGGGTCTTTTCCTCCAGCAGCCCCTCTGCCTGGTAGGGAAAAGCCTGGTCAGCTCAGAAAGGAGAGCAGTAAAATGAGATAGCAGATGTGCAGCAACCCATCCTCCTGCAATGAGCTCTTCTTTCCTCGTGGGTTATGGAAATGGTCTTAAACAGGCATAAAGGATGTATGTGCTGACACTGAAGTTTCACTGGGAAGGTGTTTTCTAAGCTGCTACATGTCCTTTTTTCTCCATTGTCCTCCTAGCAAGCAGTCCTGATATCTATGTCCCATCAAGTGTAGGTGCTCAGCTCATGTCCCCACCCGGCCTACCTTTAGAATCAATCCTTGACCAGCCTCCCTGAGAAAAGCACCTACCTGGCTTTTCCCTTGTCATAGCCACAGCCTGGGCTGTTTTGAGCCTGACCTAGTTCTGGCACCACCAGGACCCTGAAGCATATTCTGACCTTCACCAGCAGTTGTTTAACCACTGTGTCCTTCCCTCCAGATTCTGGCATAACAGTTGTAGTCTCAGTGCAAACATCTTCCTGCTCCATTGCCTCAGCATTGACAGTGAGATTCACCTTCCCTAAAGAACAAAACATCAACAAACCAGCTGGCACATCCATGTCTATGCTTTAGTTTGCTCAGTCTTAAGGCTGCTCAGTTGTGCTTTGCATAATGGGCCACTCTCCCTTCCAGACCAGTTCTGATTTTCTCAAGCAGCTCTGCCAGTGCTTCCCACTCCCACCCCTCCTTCATCCCCTTACCTAATTTTGTAGCCTTCACATTCCAGAAAAAGGTTTCTGATGAATCAGGACACAGACAAATGGTGAACTTGACATTTGCATGCACAAATTCAAAATCCCTGGAATCCATTAGGCTAAGCTGAAGCTAGAGGTGAAACAAAAGGGAGTTTGGGTTACAAAGTTGCTGCTCTGTTTTCCCTTTCAGCTCCTTTATCTAGAGGACAGTCAAGCCCAGAAGCCCAGGATGAGTATGATGTATGTCTGTGGGTCACCAACAGCCCATGGACATCACAATTCTGTAAGGTTGAGCTTATGGAAGGGATAAACTGAGCAGAGATGGTTCTGCATAGAGAACTGTGAAGAGCCTCCTCAGTGTCTTCTACCCAATACTCAAGGATGCAGCCCCTTCTCCACGTCTCTGTGAGGGAATTACTGTTATCACACATCCCCTTGTCCAAAAAACATCCTGGAAGGAGCCACTCACCCCTATGCACTGCTTCAAGTAGCTGAAGACTTTGACTTTCAGTGGAAATGACTCTCCCCGGAAGACAGAGTAGGGCAAGATGAGTTCCACAAAGAAGGGCTTGAAGCCCCGCAGGCTGGTGGTCTCTGAGATTCCCAACCCGTGGCTCTCTGAGGTGCAGAAAGTCATGGCCTTCCAGTCTGTGATGCTGTCAGGTACTGTGACAGCTAGCTCAGCAGCTCCTGAATCACTAAGGAGAAAACAGGGCAGAAGAAGTTGTTCCCATCCCTGTAAAGATTTCTCCTGAGAAGACAAATGCAGAAGGACTATGAACTAGAAGGTGTGGTTATTCCTAGGAAATAGGACAGAGGTATGGGAAGGGTAGGAAATAGGTGGGTAAAGAAAGACTGAGAGGCAAAAGCAAACCCAATTTTGCTTTTGAACCTCATTGCACCTTAAATTCTTGTTTTGTGTGAGCACAGAGGGCTCCCAAGGGTCCATGTTACACATCCAGCCTGTGTCAGAGTCGTGTGTGAAACTTCAACCACACTACCACCCAAACTCCCAACCACAACTCAGCAGCCGTCTTTATGTGTCTCTTACAGAGATGCATACACAGAATGGCAGACAGTCCCTGGCATAATCTAATCAAATGTGATGGAAAGGCAGAGATCCTTTTTTATAGATGGAGAACATTTGCACATGGGAAAACTATGAAAGCTAAGATGTGTGAAGAAGAGAACAGTGAGTGCACCATAATTTGATTTTAGCAAGGCCTTTGATACAGGCTCTCATAGTATCTGTGCAGCAACATTATTGTGGATTGGACAAGGTAAGTAGAAAATTTCTTGGACCACTGGGGACAGAGCATAGTTATTGTTGACATACAGTCCAACTGTTGGCTGCTTACCCATAGTGTCCCTCAGGGATTAGTACTTGGGCCCATACTGCTTAATGGCCTTGTTAATGACCTGGACAATAGGACAGAGGACGTCCTCAGGAAGATTAGCAGACTAATGTGCTATGTATTAGCAGACTACACCTTGTTAGGAGTTTCTGATATGCTATAAGGAAAGTTTGCTATTAAGAGGAACTTTGGCAAGCTGGAAAAATTATCTTGAAAATGGTTAAACAAAAAATTCTGTATCTGGAATGGAGTAATACCATGCAACATTACAGGCTAGGCAGTGACTGACTAGTAAGCAACTTTGCAGAAAAAATGGTAGTTCTGGCAGATGAGTTGAGCATGAAACAGCACTGAAGGCCGTCTACTTCTAGACTACACTGAGAAGACTGCAACCACTGGGTTGAGAAAAGTTATTTTCCCCCTCTATTCCTCCCTTGTGGGCCCACATCTGGAATACTGTGTTCCATTTTTGCGTTCCAGTGCAAGAACAAACCTGATTGACAAACTTGAATGCATCCAGTGCAAGACTATAAGATGGCCAGGGGCCTGCGATGCTTGATGTAGAGGAGAGGCTGAAAGAATGGGGGGTTTAAAACTTAAGAGGGGAAGCCTAGAGGGAGATCTTTCTGCTTTCTCCAGCTATCTAGTTGGAAGGTGTAAAGACAAGAGAAACAGTCTCTTCCAAGGTGCATGTTGATAGGACAAAAGGCAACAGACACATATTGGAACATAGGAAATCCTGACTTGAGATAGGGACAAAAAAATAACATGAGGATAGTAAAAGGTGCCCAGATAGTCTGTGAAATCTCCCTCCCTGGGGATACACAGAACTTAACTGCAGCAACCTCGTTTAACTGGACCTGCCTTGCACAGGTTGTTGAGTTACAGACCTCTGGAGGTTTCTTCCATCCCACAAAAGTACATGATTTTCAGTTCCCCAGGGTCATGTGGAAAATCTCAAGTGGAGCCAGGAACAGAGCCAAACCTCCACTGTCCTTATCCATTTCTTCATACCTCCCTTTTCTTGTGGGCACAGAAGGCAATAATTACCTGGCTCTGCTCCCACCCATTCCCTCTACACTGTGGCTGATAGGAGGTCTAGATGCGGTGCTGCAGCCCATTATTACTCACTTGATGGGAACCAGAGTCCAGATGAATGTCTCTGGAAACCAAGTACGCACTAGCCCTGCCTTGCTACCCGGCTCAACGTGCTCTGATTCAGCATGTTCAACAGCAGCCTTTATTTCTGGTTCCCAGTCGTCCACCTCTGCCAGCACGTCATAAGCTGTTGGGAATACAAAGCATTCATTCAAAGGCAGAGCAACTGTGAGATCAGGAACAGCTGGGAAAAGTTCAGCTCTCCATCCTTCTCACTCCCACTCCAATCCCCCTTGTCCTCTCCAAGATGCCTTCAACACCTCTGTTGTCTTCTGCAAGACAACCCGGGACACCATAGGGATTCCAGCAGCTGTGTGCTCCCCCATGAGAAGCTCCACTATCTTACACTTTTGCTCTCAGTCCCTGAAGAAAGGCTGAGGTACTGCCCAGTGCCCATCTTTGTTTATTCTCTGACTTCCAGCAAGACCTTTCCTAGTCTTACAGATGTTCCTCCCTGAGACAGCTGCCTCATTTCCTCCCTTCACCATACTATCTTCCTGCCAGGCAGAAGAAGCTTCCAAGCAGGTTCTTCCTGTGCAGCCAACCCTCCACCCCTCCATTACGCTGGACTCACAAACATGTCAGACCCTTCCACTCTTCCTGTGGCACACATCTCCTGTGCAACCTCCCACTCATCATGGAAGCCATCCCCAGCTCTTCAGCACACTGTGTGTTCAGCTGCCCTTGTGCAGCTTTTGTTACCCGTTACTTTCAAAGAAACAGCAGAAATCGAGATGTACACATGTAGTCATAGTAGAAAACAGTCCGGGTGTGGCACTCAATCGGAGACTTGATTTTAAGGCTGGTTAAAAATGTCAGGCCTGAATTCTGGAGGAAAGAAGGGGAAGAAAAGAAGGCAGATTTCAGTGAAAAGAGCAATGTTGTCTAAGGGCAATGTTGTCTGCTCCTGCCTCCCAGTATATCAGCTGCCCCATGTTGTTGCAACTCAGTTTGACCTGAAATCTTAGACAGGGAGAACATACAGAACCACTCTGCTCTCAAAGCCTGGTCCTAGCTCCTCATACTAAAGGAGGCTCTGTCCAGTCAGGATTGTGGGCACACACAGTCTTTATTTTGGCACTGTATTTTGCAGCGTACCCTGACATAGACTTGTTCTGATCTTTCATGTGCTAGAGAGGGACTTTTTACAAGTGCTTGTAGTGAGAGAAGGGGTAACAGATTAAAACTTGAAGAGGGTAGATTTAGATTAGACATCAGGAGCAAATTCTTCAGGGTGGTGAGACACTGGAACAAGTTGCCCAGGGAAGTTGTGGCTGCCCCATCCCTGGAAGTATTCAAGGCCAGGTTAGATGGAGCACTGAACAACTTGATCTAGTGGGAGGTGTCCCTGCCTATGCAGGGGGGTTGGATATAGGTAATCTTTAAGGTCCCTTCCAACCCAAATGATTCTATGCTTCTATGATTCCCTTCTACTATTCTTTCCCTCCTTTCCCCAGTTCCTCTTCACTCTTTAGTGCTTTCCTTTTCTAACCTCAAATTTTCTCTCACTCAGGCTGACACTCCTCTCTCCTTCCAGCTCCTAGAAAGTCTGAGAGTCTCAATTTTGGGATAAACTTGGAACTGTGTGCTTGGGATGTGCCTGTTTGGTGGGAATTTATCAGGCTGGGAGCATGAGATCAGAGATCTCTTAGTTCAGAAGCTTTGCTAATTCATAACCTAAGGTTGCCAGCATTTACAAGCTACCCAGGCCTGACCTGGGATCCAGAAGGGATTGGCTCTAATACTTCAGGTTTTTTGGAAATTAGATTTACCATTAGAAGTTCATAAACATCTGGCTGGGACACTGCATATGAGTATCTGTTGTACATGAGCGGTGATATTATTTCTGACGGGAGGGTGGTCTGAGGGGAACCAGTGGTTCCTGGGTTCTTGTGGATAGTACAGTAGTCCCTGTAAGAGTCTATGAGAGTGCTGGGGCGCCCTTGAGAATAGCTGAACATATTGTGCACCTGTAGACAGAGAATTAAGACAGGGTAAGTCAGTGTGAGAAATGGGAAGCTTTTATTTCTATTCAGAGACTTTCTGTCATGATAGAGGCAAAGCTTGGATCCTGCCTGCTGCAAAAGCCCAGTCCTAAGGGTTTTGATCTTCATGGAGCTCAAGTTTTACAAGTTTAAGATACACTGCACCAGACAGGAACACAAACCCCTTTGGTTATGGCTTCATAGCTGTGGCCACTTCTAGCTCATAGATTGTATCTGAGAGTTCAATGCAAACAGTGACAATAACTTCCCCGTAAGAGTCCTTAGACAGATAAATTCTTGTCTGACTGAAGGCACATCCTGGATCAACCAAGACAATGTCAAGAGGCAATTTAAGGTTCCTCAGACCAAATACATCCCAGGTCTAAGGGAGAAGCGGGACACTTCTGCTGCCAAAGCGTCACTTACAGGGCAGCCTATGAATGGAGAACTGCCTGGTTCATGTCAGCTGCAACAAAGACATGGAGCCTATCACACACTGGACTTTTTTTTTTTTTAATATAACTTCTGTTTTTCAGAGCACTGGCATTAATTGGTTCAGGAGATGGAAGTCTCTTGCCATCTGGTTGTCACTGTGCCAGTGGGCTCTAAGTTTAACAAGGATGTGACTTAGGGCTGTATTTGTGGATCTCTTAGATCCCTGTGATAGCCTGGAAATTTTGACTGGTTTTTTAATGTTAGCTTTAATTTTTGTCTCATTAAGCCATGTCCTGTCTCCGTTCAGGTACTTGTTGGTATAACCACTGTGCCTTATTGACCAGGGCCTGCAACCAGATACTTAAAAGGCTAATACTTCAGTATTAGCAAGGCTTAGCACTCAAGTGACTCACACTATCCCTGGATAGCTCAGCCTCTGGCCTCAGGAGAAAGGTGCTCTTGTCTGTAGCACGGATGCTACAGAGGGAGCCTGGTGCAGCCTGCAAATGGAGACGGACAGCAGATCCTGGGAGAGCCATGGTGTCTGAGAAGCCAAGCTTCACCTGAAACAGAAGAAGAAAGAAAGAGGAAGGAGAAGTGACAATGTGGCTACTGGATTCTGCTGGACATCTACTGCCAACTTGCAATTAATTAGCTACCCTCCACCCTACCAGCCCCATTCTGTTTTGTGCACTACTTACATGGTTCCTGAAGCACTTGGAGACTTTCAGACTTAAGGTGTCAGCTGCCACTTGTCCCTCAGGGAAGGCAGTGTAAACAAAGAGGGTAGCCATAGGTGAAATGAGGTCAATAGGCAGAGTGACATTGAAAAACCCACTATACTGACCTGACGGAAGAAGGAGAAATAGGAAAAAATATAGGAAGAGGTAAGGAATTCTGTCTCCAAGGGTTATGCCAGTAATATGTTCATCCATTACAATACATCGATACAGTTACTTGGGTAAAAACTTTTTCTTGGGTGAAAACTGCTTCTGGGGAAGCCAAAGCTAGACCATAATGTAGGTTACTGCCATTTTATAGCAGTGACCTAACATCAAGAGCCATCTTGGCAACAGTGTGTGCTTGGAAGAGAAATTACTTCCCACCTGACTCCAGAAAAAATATTCTGTGAGTTTTCTTGGAGGTTTCCAGTAATTCCTGTTTCGAAGATAAACTCTGAGAATTTCATCATTTGATTAGAAAAATAAAGAAGAGGAAAATTAAAATACAGAGGAGACATGGCATATTTGCCATTTCTTCTAGATTGGTGTTGTGTTTTGCTTTGGGGTTTTTTTGTTTGTTTGTTTGTTTGTTTGGGGTTTTTTGTTTGTTTTTTGTTTTCTTTTTTTTTTTGTTTGGTTTTTTTTTGGTTGGTTGGTTTCTGTTTGCTTGTTTTGTTGTTTTGGAGGTTTTTGTGCCAGCTCTGTTGTTTCCTACTGGTCTCAAATCTCTTCACCATGTAGGCTGGAGGGCTTTCTCATTAGGTCCCTAATCTGTTCCTGGTATTCAGATGCTCTCACCTAGTGGTGGATCAAGAAGTACTGTTGTTTGCCCATGATGCACAAGGGATCCTCTGGCCAAAACCTAAAGGAGAACGAACAAAGGATTGATAGTGCCTCTGTTTCATGCCTGTTGGCCAGGTAATGGCTTTCTGCTGACACAGACGCATGGCAAAGTTGACCTCATCGCCAGCAGTGCCCTTCACTCACCAGGTGGTAAAAGTCTGCTGTGGCAGCCCCAGCCTCCAGCTCTGTGGCTTGAATGTGATAATGCACAGTGGCCTCCTGCATGTCCCCACAGGGCAGCACTGCCCGCGCTGGTAGGATCCTCACAGAGCTGCGGCTGGAAGAGTAGAAGGCCCTCAGCGTGAGGGATGCAGTGCCATAAGACACCCTCATATTTTGACCACCCAAGTCCTTTGGCTGGGTCTTTGCCTGTGGCACAGAAAAGATGGCTTAGTGCCTGAAGACTTCTTACAGCTGTCTTCACATCAAAACCGAGACTGGCTGGAGAGCAGGCACTGAACTGTCCCAGGGTAAAGTGTCTTCCACCAAAGCCAACCTCAGTCAGCCCCTTTCTGTGGAGCTGGGCACTGACCCACACACTCTGGGATAATTAGCATCCAAACATAAGTCATGGAGCTGTACACTGCTAGGGCCTGGGCTAGAGCCTGAACTTCTGCAATGCTCCTGCTACCCTGGGACTAGGATGCTTAAACTGCTTTGAGTGTCTTATCATCCGGATGAAATCCCTGAACCCTTTCCTTTTGTCTGGTATGTCTGGAGAATTTATCAGCATGATCTACCCTGAAATATATTTCACGGTTCAGTGTTAGTCCCCTCACACACTTCGTTTCTTTTATCACCTTCCCTACCCTCACCCATAAGGTAGGAGGGCAGAGGACACATGAAGATCATGAGCATTGCTCATCTTTCACCTCTCTACCCTAAGACTATGATATGAACATATTGTGGACTTCCAGCAAGGTCAATATCCATCATCTAAGATATTGTGTGTAGTCTGACAAAGAGACAGGGCTTGCCTTGGAGTGCCTTGACCTTGAAATTTAGATAGGACAGGTATTAGAAACCTACCCCTTCAACCACACAACAGAACCTTCCTTGTTTGTGAGAAAGCAGATTGGAACTTTTTGTCAATTCCCTATATGTGGCATCTGTATTTAACTCCTTACATACTGGTTACCTGCTCTGCTTCAGACTGGCTTGCAGCAACTGGTTCCTTACTAGCCTTCCTTCTTTCCCTCCTAAGTTTCCAGCCACTTATATCCCAGGTTTCTCTGAAATCTTATGCTATGAGGAAACACAATGAAAACTGCTCACTAACACTTTCTTCTCCACATGTATTTTCATATGCTCCTTCCCAAGCTCCTTTCCTGTCTCCTTGCTCCATATAGTGTGAGAACCCAGCCCCACAAATCCCCTTCCACCTCAGACAGAGGTGCTATGTAGGTAGGCCTGAATCACAACATTATGGGACCTCTATCCACCACCCCATCTCTTTGTCATGTCTCCTGACTCCTCAAGGACTCCTCAAGGAGTAGCAGCAGGGGCCAGAACTCTGGCTCTGCTATTGGCTATTCCTCTTCCCTAGATGTGTAATTTCACTGCTCCATGACTCCATCTCCCTGGCTACACTGAGAAAATGACATAGACTAAAGATCTGAGGGATACATTGCTTAGTGCTAGCCAAATCCAGTGTAGTTATTTGGCTTAACCTGTAGTAGAACTTTACTACTGTTGTCCCATGCTGATGTCTCTAAGCTGAAAGAGGCCATTCCAGTGTCATCTGTAAAGTAGGTCTTGGTCTGCTTGCTGCTGCCATAGGACACTGTAAGAATCACCTCCTTGTTCTTCAAGTGTGTCCCATTGGCACTTTTGAGTTCCACCTGTAACGACACAGAGAACAGTCAGAGAATTGGAGGCCTTAGGACTGAAAACCTACCTCCTAGTAGAAGTCCCTCACTCTGCAAAGGGACTCTCAGTGTGACCCCTAATTCCTTCAGCCTCCCTCCCCCCATTTATGCAGCAGCCATCTCATATGGCAAAGCCATGTGCCTACTCTGAGGTGACACCTTTGGATTCCCTCTTGGTAGCACCTAGCAGCTTTGGGCAACTCAGAGCAAGGGGAGTCTTCAATACTTCTGTGCCTGCCATCTCCTCTGGCCCAGATGCTGGGCTTTCCATGTTTCTGCCCTGTCTACTTACATTTCCATAGTAAGGAGCTCCTTGCTGATAGTAGTAGCTTGTCCCCCAGAACTGGAGAGTTGTGATATCAAAAGTAACCTTACAGATTTCTGTGGCATTGAACTCAATCCCTGAGAAAGACAGGAGTTGCATGTGGGTCAGTGTCATGCATCTCAGCACAGGCAGCATGATTGGATGGACTGAGGTAAGGAATGGACCATGTAACTTCAGGAGTTGTTTAACACACATGCTGGGCAATAGTGCCTTCTACTTTCTAACCTGCTAGAATGACAGCAGTCTGCCACAAGGTCTCTGCCAAATGCTCTTTCTGACTTTGTTTAAGGTGGTCCTACTCACAACTGTCCACTTCTATTCTCCTCTTCTCAGAGTCACAAGAAGGCAACATTTTCATCTGCCTTCACAACCTTAGTTCACAGCCTGCTGTCTTGTCATGTGGCGCCCATCTGAAATCACTGCAGTTGTCTGCTAAGTAAAGTTGTGTCACTGCTTTCAGCAAGGGGCTGCAAAGCAATTTCTTGTAAGGAAGGGTTTGTAAAATTTTCTAAGAGGGGAAATCTTACAGGATATTTAACAGGAGTTCTGGACAAGTTGCCTCATCTCCCAATCTGGAATGTGGAGATAACTCTGACAAGAAGCTATTTATTAATGGTACACAGCCAGGGACTGGGTTATCACTAGTTGTTCTGAGCCTCTCATCATTCCAGCAGGCTTTTCTAAAATATGGCTTAAGAACAAAACAACTTGGCCTGCCCCACCTTTGTGCACTTTTCTACTGTGACTAGAAGATGAGAAAAAGCAGCTTTTGACCATCTCTTCCAAACAAAGGTGACTGTCAGAGCTGGACTGGCCACAACATCTTGTAGAGGAGCAAGCATACTGATAAAGCCCATCCCACAATGAAGAACTCACATCCTGTGTGAGTCAGACCCGGGTGGCATGGTACAGGAGAACATCCACACTGCCTTGGTACTCCCAGGGAAGACATCACCCTCTGAACACTTGACCCCATTGGAGACAGCCCAGAAAGTTCCAGTTATTTGATGGGAAGACACAAGGATCCATAAGGACCGTTACAGGTGAAAACCCAAAGACAAGCATCTCTTACAAGTGTAAAGCAAAAGATTTTACACTAAGAGCAGAACCAGTTTTTGCTACCTGTTCCATTTTCTTTCAGAAAAGCCACAGCTTCCAGGTTGAAATCGTGATTGTCACTGTGCTTCTGATGGTAGAACTTAATATTCACGTCAGTGGCAAAGCAGCCATCCTTGTTTGTCTGGGAATGTGAAATTGTATATGTTAACCAATAATGGACCCACTAATGCCTTCTGCAGCGCATGTAACACCCAAGACCCAGAAGTCTCCAAGTGCATTGCTAAGACAGTTGAGTTAAAGGAGCAATGCCCATAGTGGCAGGAAAGGTAGTTCTTGTCTTTGGTGTAGTCACAAATAGGAGCTACTGTTTCATATGTTTCATATGCTGTTTCATAGCACTATGTCATCTTTACACACTCATATATGTGCCAGTGGCAAACATGAGTTGTCATTTCTCCCTGACAACAGGGTTTCTCCTATAAGGGCAGGATTTATGTTGAAAATGTGTTATGAGTTACTTTAAAATATACAAACAAATACAGATATATTCATTCAACCCTAAAGATGAATGAATAAGGTCTGTGCTGAACTGCAATTTCTTACTTAGATGTGAGAGGTAATTTTTTTGTCTCCAAAATGGCTATTTCTGGGAAATAACACATAGGCTTATATCAGGTTAAAAGTTGGTGCTGTGAAGATTCCAGTGGAAGTCAAACAATGTGGACAGCGCTTGTACTTTTTTCCTTGTCACAATACCTATTTTGCAGGAAAATCTGCAATGGTTAGCTTGCCTACAGATACTACTTCTTTTGAGTGCATCTAAATGCGGTTAGAGAAGTCACTGAGGAGAGCTAGGTTTGCTGGACTAGAGAGTGAAGTACATATCAATCAGTCATGCCCAAGCAATAGCTGATACCTGTCCCACTCCTTCCTTTAGTGTTCTTCCCTCTGTTTGCCCCTGTTTCTCTCTTTGGCAAGAGCAGTGGATTTCCTATCACCTCACCTCACCCGCGTACTCCTGACAAAGGCTGGGCCTGGCCCTGGGAGGGCTCCAGCGGCGCCGGGCGTGCCTGCGGCACACGGCGGCCCACACGCGGCCGCCCACCGGCTTCCCATGCGTGTACCTGCCAAAAAAACCAGTGAGGACCCACACACAGAAGCACTGACTGAAGGGTGAAAAGAAAGAGCTTGTGATTTGCAGCTAGATAATGCAGAGCCTGCAGTATCTTCATGGCTCATGAGCTCATGAGTTAAAATTACTTCACTGGACTCAGGCAGGAGGTGGTAGTGGCTGAGTTCTCTCCCAGTCACCATTACTCCCAGCAGGTAACGCTAGGGGACATTGTGCTGGTCACAAGTTGAGCCATTCTTCCTCCCATACTGGCACTAATCAGTGCAGCAGAGATATTGTAGGGCACATCCCCCACTCAGAGGATCCACTGCCAGACTTCCAAACTCACAGGGAAAGAAGCAGGAAGAGACAATATGGAAAAATATGAGAATCTAGGAAAATTCCTTGGCAGAGGGTGCCATAGTACCAGATTTTGAGATGGGAGGAGGGCTAGCAGAGACAATTTTGAGCTCAGTTACTGATAACTGTGCAGTTTCCAAACCAGTAAGAGTGGACCTTCTGCTACGTAAGTCAGCTCACATGCCACAGACGCGGAGATGGAAGCTCTCCTCCAAGATGGTGACAACCTGAGGCACCTGGATGGAGACACTGAATTTGGGCAGCACTATGTGAAAGCAAGAGAAATACAATTCAGTGAGAACAGAGAGGTATAATTATTTTCCAGTCCTCCCCAAATGGTTGTTTACAGAAAATAAATCTCTCCTTTCATTCCCTGACTACCAGCACAGGGCCTGGTAGCGATTCACCAGCAGTCCAGCCAGGAGAGCATGGAGGGAGTAGACAGCCTTATTCTTCTCCACAAAGCACAGCTGTGGGACAGTGTCCCAGTCCATCCTCAGGACATGGGGGAGGAGAAAGCCAGTGGGCCTGAGTGAAAGTCAGTGATTACTCCTACTGGCAGGCAGTTGGATATCTCAGGTACAGCACAACTAGCACAGATGTTCACAGCTGCATGGCCTGTTCAGCTCTCTGTGAGAGAGGGAGGCTGAAGGGCCTCCCCAAGAATACATCTTTCTCTGCTTCTGTCAGCTCCCCGAGAGACTTACCATACTCCTCTACCCTGAAGGTACGTGTGCAGTCAGGCATTTTGATGGTGTACTCTCCAACCAGTGCTTCTGCAGCCAGAGAGAAGGACAGGTCCACAATGCCTCCCACAGGTGTAACGTTCAGCCACTGTGCAATATGGTTCCCTTTGGGGTCCTGTGTAGGCAGTAGTAGATGGTTGTTTTCTTGTGCCCTGGGAGAAATCCTTTTGCTGGATGTCCAAGCAGTCACAGCATGGTCTGAGCACATATCTTCTTGTCCTGAGAGCCTAACTCTATGACACAGCCACAGTGCTCACATGAATTTGAGCTCAAGGAGAGCAATCGTGCACCACCATCTCACTGACTGCTGCAAAACTGTGGCTTACTGCCTGTCTGTCACACTGAAATATAGATGTTACCCTCTTGGAGACTTCTGTGATGACCTGAGCTGGCATCACATGCTGCCCAGTATAGAAAAGAAGATGTAACGACCTAAGATGTAAAGGCATCTGGAGGCTTTGTTGACTGTCACAGTCGGGCCGTGACAGACACTGTTCTCCCACTGCTGGTTATTAGGGCAAACTGCAGAACTGGTTGTAGTAATGCTGCCCAGCCAGGAAGGCCCTAGTTATGGGTGCTTTATAAAACTATGGAGCAAGCAGAAACTGTTGTTTGGAAGGGTGCAGCTGGATCAGAGTCCTACATTCATATAAACTGGCATAAAGCATTGCACAGGTGTCCCAGAAACCATGTGTTTATGTATGGAGTGCTTGGTGGGTATGGCATTAAAATGTGCATTGATTACTCTAACTGTGACTTCTCTGTGTGGGTTATTACAAGCTTCCCATCACTTATCTTTCCTCAGCTCAGCTGATTGCAGTCCATATTTTACCTGTAATATGGAAACTAAACTAACAGATTTTAAGGGCAATATCCTGAAAGCTGCTCTAGGAAGTTTCTCTAGATGTGTAGCCACAACACTAACTCATCAAATTTTATTTTCTCTATGTTAAATATAAAGTCTCCTTAAAGAAAATTCAGGATTTTCACAAATCTTCAGTACACAGGCTAGAGGGCCTAGAAATCCTGTGACCACTTTAGAAAAGTTTGCTGGACAGCTGACTGCTTTTCAGTGGCACCCATCACTTACTGTGGGTACTTCTGTGTGGTCAGTGTCATGGCACTGAACTGGCAAACTTGTATGGATACTAAAGGAAGGAGGGACAGGAAGTCAAAGACTGTCCCCATTCATTCTGAGGTAGCTGGCTTTCTGTATTCAATGTCTCCCCACCATAATCTCCAAACGTGTGTCTTTCATAAGGTGAGAAGAGGTCACCACTTTCAATAAAGTAGTTTCTTTACCTTCAGTTCTACCACGCGGTGCTGTGGGAAAGAAGTAACAGTTACTTCTGGGAAGCTTTCAGGTAAGTTAACCATGCACCTCCCCATCATTTTTTATCCCCCAACTATCCATGAGTCTTCCCTAAGCAATTCCCAAGGACTGCCCCAACATCATGACCCAACATCATGAGCAGCCCCTGTGTTGCAGGTGGTGCCCAATGCTGTTTGTAAACACCAAAAGCAATGCTGAGACTAGATGTCCACAGATGGATCACCTAGCTGGGCTAAATATTAATCCAGAAGTCATGGAGGCAGCCCATAGCATTTTCAGACTTATTTATGTTTCTCCCTTCTTGACTTACCGTTTCATTGCTGGCAATAAAGTTCTGGTCCAAGGTTACAATTCGGAACTTCACTAAAGAGCAGAAGAAAAACAAGAAATCAAAGCCTAGAAGGGAGATGAAGCCTGTGACCCACCTCCCTTGCAGAGCAGGCCTCGCTACAAGTGCTAGGATATCCCTTAGGATACCCTGAGAACTGATCTTTCTCTCACAAGACATTCTGTCCATACCAATCTGTCCAGGTTTGTACACAGGTTTGTCTGTCTGGATAAAAGTCTTCTTGTCTGCATGCTTGATGAGGACTTTCTGTTTCTTGTGATACTCTGAATTGGCTCCCAAGACTGTGATCTCAATAAAAGCCACTTCATCGGGGCTTCCAACAGGAGGAGGGACCTACAGGCATAGTTGTAAACATAATTCAGGGTGGATCCCATTCATGGAGCCCTAAGCATTTGGAATAACAATTGTGATACTTCTTTTATATTGCTCCGGTTCTTCTTGCCCTGAAAGTCCTCACAGTACTTTTCAGAATGTTTTCTAGAGAGTAAAATATCAGCAGGGCTACACAGCAGAAAGAACACTGGCAAACCTATACAGGCTGAAGCAGAAGATTCAGTGCCCAATAAAGATGTTCCCCTGGGAAGACACAATTCTTTGCCTTCCTGCCCAGTGAGAGCAGAACTCATGCACCATCCAACCTACTGACAACCTTTGAAAATATGTTTCTCACCTGGAAGCTTGTGCAATGAAAGAAGGTCAGCTGAGAGATGGACTGAGTGATCAAAGTCTCATTCCCAGCTCTGCTCTGCAAGGTTACTGTCACATGGATCGGGGTTGCTTGTTGTCTGCTGAGCTGGAGGCACACTGTCTCTGAGAAGGGGTAGTAGAGCTGAGATGGTATAGCCACAGCATAGTTTCTATTAAAAAAGGAAAAAGAAAAAAGGTGAATCTGATTTTCTAAGAGGCCACATCTTGACTGTAGGATTTGGGTAGTGGTCTCTTCATTCCACTGTCACTATGCCACTGGGACAAGATCACACCATCCTTTTCACTCTTGGTTCTGCAGCCGTTAACACTGGCTTTGAGCTACATACTGCATGCACATGCAGAAAGATAAAGTCACTGCTTCCAGAACTCAGAGTCAAAATAAGACAAAGAGACCTCCCCATGCCATTCAAGGGATCCTGAGACTTTAGACTTTTCACTGATCCACACTGCTTACAACCATTAGTTTACTTGGTTAGTTGTCTGCTTTCATAGAACCATCATAAAATTGTAGAAGGGTTTGGGTTGGAAGGGACTTCAAAGATTATCTAGATCCAACCCCCCTGCATTGGCAGGGACACCTCCCACTAGATCAGGTTGCTCAGAGCCCCATCCAACCTGGCCTTGAATACTTCCCTGGATGGGGCATCCACAACATCCCTGGGCAACCTGTTCCAATGTCTCACCATCCTCAGAGTGAAGAGTTTCCTCCTAATGTCTAATCTAAAGCTTTCCTCTTCAAGTTTTAATTCATTACCCTTGTTCTGTCACTACATGTCCTTGTAAAAAGTCTCTCCCCGGCTTTACTATAGTCCCTTCAGGTACTGGAAGACCACTATGAGATCTTCCCAGAGCCTTCTCTTCTCCAGGCTGAACAACCCCAACTCTCTCAGCCTGTCTCCATAGGAGAGGTGCTCCAGCCCTCTGATCATCTTCGTTACTCTCCTCTGGACTTGCTCCAGGAGATCCATGGAGTCTTCAGGACTCTCTCCAGGAGCTATTTCTGTCCTATCAGCTACTTTTGAGCTCAGAACCAATGCTGTGCATGTGTCCAGGCTTTGTGTGCCAGGCACAGGTCTGCAGAAGCACCTTCTTTTCAGCTCCTGATACTCCTCTCCTCCTTGCTTTCCTATTCCAGATCTCATGCCTCTGTGGCTAATCTCATAACCATGCTCATGGGTAACACCAAGAAGCTGTTCATACTGGGTATTTATTCATCTTACACTGCAACTAGGACCAGAGAAGTGCCAACATTAAAGCAGGTTTGAAAACTCTCATCACTGACTTCTCCTGATTGCTGCCCCTGGACAGGTTCAGCCAGCAGCATGTTTTGCAGCAGCAGGAGAGCAGGTCTCAGCTGGAGCTCAGCACCTTGGCAAGAGGGAGTCAAAGACCAGCTGGCCAGAAACCTTATGTTCCACTAATGCAAGCAAATGGGATGAGAATCAGACTCATTTCTTGGACCTACCATACCTCTCTTGCTCCTTATGACCCTTTACTCTGGAACATTTTCTTACACCTCTTTACCCTTGCTCTTGCCTTCTGAGCTGTACAAGTATGAAATAGTGTCTCTGAGGCTGTCATTAAAAGATCCCAAGAGCCAGGCTGGATTACTTTCTCATGAATCTACAAAAAAAAATGAATAATCAGCCTACAGGCAGGACAGCAGGCAGTCTGTTGAAGCAAGCAGGATTTCCATAAATATTTCCATAATGCTGAAAGTAACAGTGGGGAACAGGCAGCAGTAAAGCCATCACTTGAGCAGGAACTGTGTCAGCGTATGGAACATATCCTAGAGGAAGAGGTTGTACTCCTACCAAAAAAAGATTTTTAAAACTAGACTTGTGCATGCCACACCAAACAGGGTAGGAGGGAACCCAGCTATGACCCAGTGACATATTTCCCACTGTAACATCTAACATTTAAACACAGCCATATTTCTGTTTGCACTTACATGATGGCTGCAAAAGCAAAGGCCTTCAAAAAGCAAGTGCAAGTTCCTGAGCCAGTATAGCACAGCAGTGTCTACTGGAACAGGAGTTGTATTATTGATAATGTATATGAGGAGAAGCACTGCTGGGGATTGTCCTTGCCAGAGGTCTGAGAAAAGGAATGGAGGGAGCAGATGGCCAGCCAAGCCAAAACGAACACACTGCTTTACAAAGAGCATCGCTAGTAGATAACTTGGGCTGCTGTTTGCCTGGTTTGCAAAGTAACCAGCTTGGTTTACTGAAGATTTAAATGGTGATCTATGACTTTAGGGAGAAAAGCATAGGTCAAAAGGAAATATATTCTGGAGCACAGTAGGAGAGGTGAGATGTTGGCTGGTCAGATTTAAACACATGCAGAAAGCTGACAGAGTTGCCCTGCCCGAGACCTTGCAGAAATACATGGTCTACATTAAAGGCACTAAAAGGAGAGCCAAGGAAGTAAGGAGAGTGTGGGGGAGAAAGGTGCATGAGAACCGAGTGAAACCTTGGGAAAATGAGAAATTATGTCTCTCTGGAAAAACTGTCCTGGTCTTAGGGCTTCTGTCCTGTTTCTGTCATACCCACCATCCCCCCAGGATTCCCCGCAGTCCAGAGCCTGTATACAAAGCAGCCAAAGTTCTTACAGCATTTCAGGTGTCTTGGCCATGCTGTGCTGCAGCAGGATGCTGCCCCACAGAAAGGTGATGCTCCACATAGCTCGTTGCAGGTTGAATGCCTCCATGGAAAGGTGAGCCTCTCCTCTGCTCCCACTTTGCCCCTGCTTCTGCTACTCTCCTTCTTCCCTCTGTCCTTCATCCAGAGCTGAAGGACTATGCAGCCCCTGCCCTGATAGGGTGTCTGGCTGTCTCTTGGCTTTGAAACCAAGGTCAAGGTGGAAATCATGCTGCGCATGGCTGGGGCTGGGATGTGGGTGGGTGGAAGGGGTGGAGACAGTGTTTATTGCCTGCACTCCAAAGGCACTTGCTTTAAGGCTTTGTAAGGCATGTTGGTATTTCTCTGGGAGGTGTATTGCTGTGCCTTCCTATGTGGCACAGCTGCTGGCAGCAGGAGTACTCAGTGAGCATCTTGGGTACAAGGGCTTGATTTTTAAAAAGGTGTCTTTACCAGGATTTCACTGGAAGCATCCTGGGGCAAATTCAGCCTCTTTGAGGTCTGATGATTTTGTTTCAGGGTTCTACTTCTGTCAAACTTCTTTTTTAGGTATTATTTACTTCCTACTTACATTTCACTGCTGCCCTGTAGCCTCTGGCCAGCCCAACCCAGGGCTTGACACACAGCTCTGCTAGTGCCCCCACTCCTCCCTGGAAGAAGGGAAGAAATTTAGCATGTTATTGTTTTTCTCTTGTCTATCTTTTCTCATTTAAATTCAGAGGCAGCCATTCAGAGACACAGATATAGGGGGTGTGTTTCTGAAGTCAGAGAGAACTCTGATCAGTTTTTGTTCCACTTGTTCAGGCTTGAACTCAAACCCTGTTGATTTCAGAGAATCAAATATGCTCCCAGATCAGTGACATGCAGTGCTTTAAACCTGCATATTATCTGAATGTCAGTGCTAGGTTAAAGGCTAGTGTGTTGCTGTTACATCAGACTGTGCACTAAGTACTAAGCACACATATGGGGATTGTTCCAAAGTAATTCCAGGAGATTGCTTCAGCCAGGAGCAAAGAGTGGTTGAACGGCAAATTCACTCTTCCTTGTGTACTCTTGCTTATGCTGTGCAAAAACATAGCTGCAGCTAGGGCAGGATGAGGACATTCACCTTCAAATGAGGTTGAAACTAGAGAGCAAATATGTCCAAGCCCTGCTGACTTCACTGCTGCTACCCAGGAAAAAGAAATACAAAGTTCCAGTGTCTGAGAGGAGTCTGGAAGAGATGGGTAGTGGTGGCAGTGTAAGTGGCAACATTATGGCTGGAGGAAGATGGCAGAAGACCAGACATCTGGCTTGGGAGGATGTAAAGTAGAGTTTTGCTAAAATATGTGGGTACTTAATGTCTTGTTTTATTTGGGTAGACCCTACAGTGGAGCTACAAGGGGTGTTGGCAGTGGGTGACAGAAGCATCCCAGGAGAAGGATACCTGGGGCTGTACCCAGGAGAATCAGATATGGCTGGCTTGGATGAGTGGACAGAAGTAGTGATGTAGGGAATGGAGGTGAATTGAGGGGGTTTTACTCCAAGCTTTGATGAAGTACTGGAAGATGGGAAGACCACTACTGTTGCAGAGAGGATGGTTTTACAGACTGAGGACAGTAGCTGTTGTGCAGCTTTATCTCTCATTGCGTCCAGATCAGCCACAGCTGAGATGAGTGTTTTCCCTAAGTCCCCTTCAGCCTGGGTTACAGGTCACCCACCCCACATCTCCACCCCCAGTGCTCTGGCACCCCATGGCCTTGAATACCATCTGAAGGTAGATGTGGGTGGAGAACTGTGCTGTGTGACCTTCACTCTGCTGTTGGTGGAAGCGAGTAAATATTAGCTAAGGTCATTAGCCTGGAAGAGATACTATCTCCATGTATCAGCTCTCCAAGTCTTTGGACATAGGAGCATCTGAGGGAGGTATTTAGGATTGCTTGAGCCCATCACTACAGACAGTTCTCTCCTCCTGTGTGGATCTTGTCAGCTGTCTTTCCCAGCTCAAGCAATGGGAGCACGAGTGTTCCTCTTTGCCCTGACCCTATTCCCAGTGGCAGCTGCAGCAAGCCTGGAACCGTGAGATTATCTCCTTTTAATTTGGGGGGGCTTGGTGGAAGGGACTGTCACTAAAGGGTAGTGCTGAAGTGCCGTACTGTTCAGCATCACAGAGCTGCATGGTGGAAGCCTTATTCTCAGGGCAGCTGAGCAGAAGAAGCTCCTGCTGAGTCCTGTTGGAGCTCTGGGTGTCGAGCAGCACCACAGTGGAAGCCCCTGGTGTTTGCTGGTGCAGATGCCACATGCTATGCCACAAAGCTAAAGAAGCCACAGGTTTTCCCTCTGTTCTGGTGGGAGTAAAATTTGGTATGAGGACTAAAGCCTTATGTCTCAGCCACTGAATCTTTAGTTTCATTCCTCACAAAGCTTTGCTCTGTGTACTTGCAATTAGTGTTGTACACTGGGCAAGTGTGTCCTGGCTGGTGGCAAGGTGGTGACAGACAGGTAACAGGAGCTCTCCAGTTTCACTCTAGGCATGTTGCTTCTGTCTGGTATTGAAAAGGAGCTCCACTATATTTCTTTCACTGCAGGCCTCCAGACATTTCTGACCCTTGATCTAGCTATTCATGAAAGCAGCAGACATGGATTCTGGCCTGTCCACCTTAGCCTCTGAATTGTCTTTGAACATTTCCTGCTCTGTTCTAGTCACTATATGGTGGTGTTTCCTGCTGTCATTCACCATTCACAAGAGGAGAAGCTCTGCATTCACTTCATCTCTCTGACCGAGGCTGTCCACCTGGCCATCACCTTGCAGGTGACAACCCAGAATCACACACTGGTGGAACAGGATGTGGAGAAGCCAGGCACTTTTCAGTGCATCACTTTCCAGGTGAGTGTAGCTGTGCCTGCTGATTTGGCAGTGGATGTGCTCATCTTCATTTCAGACAGGAGCCTAGCTCTTCTCTGGGTACACATTCCTTTGACTTACCATGGGCTGCATGCAGGTTAGTCATATTTCCATTTGTTACACTGCCAGGCAAAATACAGCAGTGTCCTGGAGCCTAGCAAACCAGGGAATCTTTCCCATGTAGACAAAAAAACCTGCTCTGCTGATCTCTATCAGCCTGTTGCATCCTGTGTGAGCCTGTTGAAAAACATTGACTTTCCAGTTTCGTCAGTTTAGTCCCTAAAAATGCTTGTATGTCACAGTGCAAGTCAATGCATTGTGAATGCATTATTTTCATCCTTGCTTCCTCAGACACCTGCCCCTCCAGCTCCAAGAGCACCATTCTGCTCTAAAGCTACATCTGTATTGCAAGGTGTAGTTGCAGCCTGCATAGACACTGAGCTTGCTTTAATTTAGCTGCGATGGGCTGTGATGGCACTGAGCCCACAATGAATTGAATTTCACATACGCAAGCTGGATGTTTCTTAGGTGGCTTGGATTCCTGTCATAGCAACTTCGCTGCTTCAGTTACATCAACTAGACTGAAGCTGAGGAATGACTACAGGACCTCCAGTTACGTTTCTGGAGCACCATGGAGATGTGTCTGGTGCTGAGACTCTGCAAACTGCCCCTGTCTTCCTCAGCACCTTATGAAGTTGCTGTGCCTGTGTCCTGATTGCCCTGCAGATTCAGCAGAACTCAAGGAGGGGCTGCCTGGTTCTTGCATGTGTTTGGTGCCAGGCCTCAAACTAGAGCAAGTCCTTTATTTGGAAAGCCAAGGAAGTTTGCCACTAGCAAAAAAGAACCTTACTTGTAGTGACCTCAATCTTTCTGATACTTCTGACATTCTGGTTTTGCCTCATCTCCTGTTACTATCGTGGTCAGGCCCAAATCTTATTTTCCTATGGGTTTTCTCAGTTTCATAAAATTCACACATTTATATGAAGTGGAAGAACGACATGTCATTTGGTTCACTCCTGGGTTCATGAACAAGAGACAGGCAGTGACTGCTGCTTCTCCCTGTAACACAAAGCAAGTTAGAGACAGAGTCATACAGTAGAATTTGGGCTCCGATTATTGGGGAAGTTTGTTTTTTACTGTGAAATGATGTCTCACATCTGTGATAAGATGCAAAGTTGCTGACAAATTTGTTTTCCATTTCCTTTTATCAATCATCCTAGGTGCCACAGTTCCTTCCCAGGAAAGGAGAAGATTCCACGTCTCATGTAAGATACCTCTCCTGGCTGCCTCTCCTCTTACAAATAAGAAGGCTTCAGCTTCTCCTGTGTCTGAGTCATGTTAATGTTGGAGATGCAGGGTGGTGAAGATAGTAAAGGGGAGAAAGAGATGTGGAAAGAGGCAAACACGACAAGGAGAAAAGCAGAGAAAGGAAAAGGAGAAAGCTGGGGACTACAGAGGAGACTTTGTCGAAGGATAGGAGGGGAAGGGAGAAGAGGGAAGCAGGAGATTTTGGTAGGAGAGGTGCCTCTGTTTCTCCTTCAAGCTATTTGTAGTTTCAGACAGTTGTTTTTTTTTAACCTGACAGCCAGAGGAAGTGGTTTTTCTGCATGTCCTGATCCACAATGGGGACGATGTGCTGTTTGAGGGTCGCAAGAAAGTTCTGGTAAAACCCCCAAAGAATGTAATTCTGGTAGAGACAGACAAGGGCTTATACAAACCTGGAGAAACAGGTAAGGTGGTATATGGAAACGGGGAGGGAAGGGTCAAGGTATCAGCCACATCTGGGGGAAGATTTCACGAAGTTAAACAAGCTAAGCTTGTTGGAGATGGAAGAAACCAGATCTCTGGGATCTGGGACAGTATGAGTCAGGCTGCTCCCTCTGAGCTGTGCTGCACCAAATGCCCAGCCTGCTGCTCCTAGGTGTTCTTTTTTGTGAAGTATCTCTATTGAGACCTGAAAGGAAAGCCAGGACTCTCCAATCTCTTGTTTTTTGAAGACTGTTCTTAATATTTGAGTAAAGCCTAGAGTGACAGTTCCAAATACACAAATGCACAAATACAGTCACTTCACAGTCTTCACAATATGAACAGACTATACACAGACCAACCCTACTGTTTAACACATCATTGTAATTTTTCCAAGTAAAGGCAGTGAGTTTCTACAGCCCACAGCTGCATATAAACATCCCAGACAAAGTATTCTGGAGTGGAAGATGCATGGGAGGGCTGTTTGGGGAGAGACCTGAATGCCACTGAGGTAAACAGAGAGACATGAATACTGGAGCACAGAAAAGGAGAAGCAGATTTGTACTAGGATATGTTGCAGTCAGAATGCTTTACTATCCTTTTGTTTACATCTCCAGTGAAATTTCGAATTGTAAACCTTGACGAGGACCTTAAGGTCATTAAAAATGAGGTGAGTACAACCTTGTACTTTTCTAGGAGAGTTAACATGAGACACATTGAGAGACTCATGAAAGAGACATCACCCTTCATGCCTGCTAAACCATAAGAACAAATGACCTTTTAAGGGAAACCACTCATCCACTGGTCCCTTAGAGAAAGACTGCAGTGTAGGCTAGCACAGAGGGAGGAAGACACCTTGTGTGGGGTCTGGATGGGCAGAATTTTCTGATCAGGGGCTCACATCAGGCAGTGTTATTAACACTGTTTCACATGGATGCGGATTTGCTTTGTACTAAACTGAGCTGTGTTTCTCTTGTTTTTACAGTATTCTCAGATATGGCTGCAGGTAAGTGACAAAGAGCCAACCAAAGGGAAATGTCTGTCTCTTCTATGGTGCCATTTCACTCCCAGACAGAGTTGTGCCAGAAATGTAATCTGGTTAAGGTTATGGTCCATATTCAGCTCAGGCCTTTTCCACCTGGTCAGCCTGGGTTCTTCTTTCAAACCAGCACCTGTGTGATGTATATAGTTGAGCTACAGGCAGGGCAGTAATGAATCTGTGTCCAAGACCTTGACTGCACAGAGCACAGTACTAAATGCTCAGTAGATGCAGCTCAGCCACTTCCTCTTCCTGCAATTTTATGGTGTTCCCAGTAGCTTAACTGTTCTTGGCAGCCTTTGCAATTCAAACTTCAGTTAAAAGATACTCAGGGGAGGAGAGGGCATCTTACCTACTGATATGGCATCATCTCTAATGGGGCAAGAGTAAGGCCTCATAGTGTCTTTTTGTGCTGCCAGGGACGCGTGCCCCCAGTGTGACTTGGTGGCTCTTCATGTCCTTACCCAAACAGGATCCTGAATACAACCGCATTGCTGAGTGGCGGAATGTGAAGTCAAGGCAAGGCATCGTGGATCTCTCCTTTCCCCTGGCCTCTGAAGCACTCCTGGGGAAGTATACCATCTCAGTGCAAAAAGGCATGGCTGAAAAAATCTTCACTGTTGATGAATATGGTGAGACTTGGACAGCAGAAGTGAGGCAAAAGAAGTGTGGGTAACTGGAGAAGAGAGCAGAGTGATGTGGCCCTGTTCAACTGGCCTGTTGCCTGGGAGAACAGCAGACTGGGGACAGGGACAGACGGGTCTGGGTGCACATCTCAGGCTGGGCTGGAGGTTCTACAGCTGCACAGGAGAGGCAAAGGAGAGGCTGTGGGCTGATACCTCATTCTAGCTGTACCTGGGCCCTGTGATCAGCACATTCTGCTGCTCCTTGTCACTTTCTTCTAAGCTATGTTTACTATGCACTCCAATGAATAGCAGCATCGTGTCTTAGTCCCATTCAATTGCAATGATGTAGGTGAGGACAAAGCCCTGTGCCATTTAAAATGTTTATGCTTGGCTGAGCTGGAGTAGAAAGCAGTCCAATGTGCAATTGTAGCAGCAAATAGTGGAATGACTGAAGGGAGTAACCCCTTTTGCAGCATGAAAAACTGGGAACATTATTGTCTTTTTCCCCATCTGGACTGCAGCTATAGCAGAATTTACAGTCAGGGTCCATACTAAGTATTGTTTTTTTTCCCCTCTATCCTTATCTTCCTCTCTTCAGTGCTTAAACATTTTGAAATAGACATTGAGCACCCTCCATTTATTGCAACAGTGGATGAGGAATTTCAGCTGAAAGTCTGTGGCAAGTGATACATGATACTGTTGTGATCTCTGGGCTCTTACTCCATAATCACATGCAGAATGCCCAGAGCTGAGAAATGGCCTTCCAATATGATGTTCTTGGATTACCCTGTGGTTGAAGGAGACAGATCACTCTCTGCAGTGGGGTCCTTCTCACACTTGATCATTTATTGTGAGGCTGAAAGATCCTGAAGATGATCAATATGATGGGTGGAGAAGGTTGCAAACTGATCTTAAGGGGCAAGCTGAAGTTCCTTAGCAAAACATGGTATAAAGACATCCCAGGCTCCATTTCTCCCTGATGATGGTGGACAAGGGCCTGGATCAATATTTCTGCTGAAGTGTCCAGTCTTCTGGTGAATGTTTCTCTCCTTCAACACAGGTACACCTATGGGAAGCCCGTTCAAGGGACAACACATATTTCTTTTGTCACATTATCCCAGTACTTGGAAGATGGTATCACAAATACTTCTGAGTTGATGAACCAAAATAGCTGGGTAGGTGAAAAAATAGGCGAGTGGAAAATAAAACCTGCTGGAAATGTATATCTGTCCCCTTAATTTGTCTTGATGCATTTCTGATGTGCACGAGCCTGTTTAGCCTGCTGTGTTCCCACTCACTAGACCTGATCAGACCATTGATTCACAGAATCATATAATTGTTCTGGTTGGAAAAGACCTTTAAGATCACCAAGTCCAACTATAACCTAACTCTACCAACCATGAACCTAACTAACCTCTTCCTATTACTCTGTTGCCTGAATTACTGCTCTAGCATATCTGACTCAGTATTTCAGGAGAAAGTATTCAGCTCTCTGCAAGTAATGATGCCTGGGGCCATTCTCAAGGGTCTATGCCACATTCTATGCAATCAGATCACTGGTCTATTCAATCCTTTGACTTCTCTCACGCAGAAACAAACTATCAGAGCATCAGATGCCCTGTTTCTTCCTGTATCCATGCAGTTAATGGATCATGTTGAACTTGCTAGTATCCTATGTGAGATTATATCCAATGCTGGTTACACTTTCTGCACATTTTTGTCCACTGTAGGTTTGTGGTTAAGCTCCACACCTGGTTTTTCCTATGGCTTTCAGATGCATCTCTTTCAGCCTGAAAGTCATAAGAAAATATTCTAAATGTCAGACCAGCCAGCACAAGCCAGAATATAAAAATCCAGCTGGAACTCTGCATCTTTTAAAATGCACTCAGTATCTCCGCTTGAATCCTAAACAGTCTTAGCTGTGCAAAAACACCAAGTGAATGCCAGCTCCCTCTTGCATGGCAAGGAAGAGGCACTGCAAGGTTTGGTGGAGAACTTAACAGGCACAGCTAGAGACACATTGTCCACCTCTCCTCCCTGGCAGACTGGCCGTACCCAGTCTCTGCCTTAATGCTTGGCAAAGCTCTTGTAATCTGTAACTGGCTGGATGCCTTTGTTTAACATGGCCACATCACAGAGATAGTCATGAGTGGAAAGCCACACTGTCAGGCTTTGTTCCTCAGGCCTGTATAGTTTCAGGAAGGTTACATTTAGATTTAGCTCAGATAAAGACACATGCTTTTTCAGCTGCAGTATCTAGGCTTAACCCAGCCTCCTGAGTTTGCCTGTGATAGAATTAACCTGTATGTGATTTGCATGAAGTACTTCTTTCTGCCACTTTTTTTTTTTTTGGTGACTGTTTAATCAAAACCTGTTGATTTTCTTCTCTGGTTAAGGTTTCTGTAGTTACAGGTTTTTGAGCTTCCATCTGTTCCACAAGCGTTTAGAAATACTTCTTTAGGATTGCCCAGCGTCTATGGAACAGTTTGTCTTCCTCCACACCATGCTCTTTCTTTCTGTTTATGTCTCCCTTTCTGCAGACAAACAAGAATGGCTGTGCCACTTTTACAGTGAAGACAGAGGCTCTGAAGTTAAGTGAAGCTGACAGCTTCATAGCTGTGATGGGAAAAATGGTGGAAGCTGGAACAGGTATAAGAAAATATGTGAAGCATTCTTCTCCTTGCAGGCAACTTCTTTGGTTTTAGCCTTTCTGCAGCAGTTAAATACCTTTTGAAAAAGTAACTTGAGGGTTCCCAAGTCTTCTGGCATGATGATGGTCTCTATTCTAGTATCTATTCCATCTACAATCACCAGATTTCATAATCCTCTCAAATCTTCATCTCCACTAGCACATATATAACGTTTTCATGACTGCCTGGACACCAAGGTGCTCCTCAGCCTCCTCAGCTGCAAAGTCCTCTCTAGTCATGGAAAAGCCTACAGCAAGCCCTTGCAGTTCTTGCTAATTGTAGTGTACCATCCTGACAGTCCCTACCCACAGTCTCTTGTTCTCTCTTCTCCTAAGCCTGAGGCAGAGGCCTGAGGCACACTCCTGCTGAGAGGAATGCCATTCTAGTCCCTTGTAGTCTGATATATTAGTGGCTGCAAGAAGGCAGGTTTTCAGTATCAGTGTTGTTGTGCATCTAGCTCTGGCAACTGGGAGCGTCCATTGTCTGAGCTGTCACTCTGGGGCTTGGGTCCTTGAGGCCACTTTTAGGCATCTATAGTATAGCTGTCTATAACTGAACAGTCATTTAGTTTCTCTTTACCTTTAATAAAGAGAAATAAGTACTTACAAGTTTGCAATGAGACCGAAGGCCCAGAAATGTTGAGGGAATCATATCCTAGAAGGATGTCTTTTCTCTCCTAAACATAGAGGTTGAGGATGTTTTAGGTAATGCTGAAGCATCTTCTTGTCTTCTGATTCCCTAAAAGTACTGCTATGGTTTAAGAGATTTCCCATCTCTCCACCTAGAAACAGAGGCTAGTGAAATGGTTGGAATTCCTATTGCAACAAGAATGAAGTCTATAGAGTTTATCAACCTCCACTCATTCTACAAACGTGGACTACCTTACACAGGAAAGGTAACACCCGTGGTTCCCTTCTCTGCTCAGAACACATCATAGGTCTAATCTTCTGCAGGCAGAAAGCAACAATCTCCAGAAAAGTGAGTGTTGCTCTACTGGCACCGAGCAACTACGGGTGAAGCCTCCTGTGGCAGCAATTTCTTCTCCCCAGCCTAAGTTAGTATATTCCCTGGACAGGAATTTTGGGGCCAGCTGCAGGGTCTGAAGGCTTCCTCAGGAGTATCTCCTGAAACTAGTCTATGCAAAAGGCATATGAGGTAGGGATGGCATAAGCAGGCAAATAATATTCCCATCAGACAAATGCTCTTGGTAACTGAAGCCTTATATATCAGTTCACTGACAGTAATTTCTGACTCAAGTCCCCTGGGTGATGCTAGGACTACTGTTCCATTGGGGCTAGAAACACTTTCACCTGGGCCAGTACTAACCCCAGCATGAAGAAAGGCTAGGAACAGCAAGAGTTAAGTTTCTGGAAACAAGACTGTTTCTGGCCATCAAGAATACTGCAGCATTGTCCAAGAAAAAGCTCAGAATCTTAGCAAATCACCTTTTTGCCCCAGTATAGGTGTCCTGTTTGGCTGCACCATCATGTATTTATAGTCCTGAACACTTACGCATTGTTGGTTTTGTGTATTTATCACCTTTGTCTTTTTGTGTCCTGTCTGAAAGCAAGAAGGGCTGAGGAAGCTCAACAATAGAAACTACTACTATTAAGCACAGGCAGTGCCTCAAGAGTGTGGTGCAATGGGGTATTAACTTCCTTCCCTTCTCTGCAGATGTTCTGCCACAGTAACCAATCTCCTCTCAGAAACGAAACAGTCTACCTTACAGTTGATATCAATGAGGAGGAAACACATCTTTCATTCCTCACAGATGAGAATGGGGAAGCCCACTTCTCACTGGATACCACCAGCTGGAATAACACACTGGTTTCTCTGAAGGTGAGCATCAACAAAAAAAAGGAGGAGAAAGTGAAGGTAGATTGAGGAAAGCAAGAGAAAGTGAAGAAATCTGAGCTTTTGGAGCACAGTCCTCTGCCACCTCATTTCATTTGACTATATCTGCAGAAGTATGTTTAACTACTCTTCAGTGCAATCTCCTCTGTGAAGCTGAAGGCTGTGCTGCAACAGTTCAGCAACAGTCACAAAAGTCACTCAGCTGTCCTGAGCTGCAGCATGATTCTCATCTTTTATATCCCCCCTCACCTTCCTTTGACTCCACTAAATATCTGATACTGGTATTAACATACCAGTACTTCCTTGAAGAAATCTCCTCTTTCTCAGCTCCGGGACAGAAGGTGGGTCAGCAAAACTGACAGTTGAGACCTGTCTCTGTTGAACTGCACTTCTAGCAGCTGCTCTTGTCTTGTAGCAGCACATAGCTTGTCCAGGCTTGGCATGTCAGGTAACTGCTCTTGAATTCTCTCTCAATACCAGACGTTGAAGCACTTGGCTTCTGCTCTTCACAACTTCTGATTCTGCACCTGGATCTTGTTACCAGTCTGGCATTACACCCATCTTCCCACTTCCTGCAGTCCTGCAGCTGCTGTGGGATTCAAGCCCAAGCAGTAGAACTCCTATTGCCACCCATTTCTCAGACACTGCAACTATTGTTCCAGATGTTTTCCTCCAAAACCTCAGCCTATCTGGGGTGTGGTTTCCTAATTTTGGTTAGGCAGGATTTGGTGATCGAGGTTCTGTAATCTAGGAGATACATTTCTGTCCTCAGAGAGCCTGGGGACAGGGTCTAGTTCTTGTTCCTAGATTCATGGCCATTGTCAACAGAGCCCTAGATTATCAGCAGAGCTATAGAGCTTCACCATGCCATTTTAGTGCCTGTTGTGCTTCAGGGCACCGGAGCAGAAGCACAAACTGAAAACAGAGATGCTGTGCTAGGGTTAAAGTCTGGTGTGGGATGTGTCTCCATGGAAAGATAAAGGGAGAAAAAAATGAGATTGTGGGCAAATCTACTGGACTAAGATTTTTGCTAAAACTTCATAGGAGAAAGTCTCATAAGAGACTTCAAAATTATATTTAAATAGGATAATATTTAAGGCATACAAATGTTTAGTCTTCAGTCAGCTCAGGTAATAACAGTGTTTGCAAGAGGTGTACAAGCTTCCTTGTGTCACTTGATACTGATTGCCAACTCATTTTTGTGCTTCGAAGGGTACCTACAACCTTGGAAATAATGATGAGAAAAATTCTTCTGAAAGTCACACAGGAGTGGAGGATAGCCTCCACTGGCTGAAACCTTTCTACTCTGAGAGCAACAGCTACCTTGAGATCAAGGCCAGGGATGATGTGATGCCCTGTGATCAAGAGCAGGAAGTGCAAGTGGATTATATCCTTGACTGGAATAAACTCAGCTCTGAAGCAGACCACATTGATTTCTACTACTTGGTGAGCACAGAAGACAGCTGAATATCAGGGCAAGATTATGTTTACTGGCATGTTACCCTTTTCATGCAGCACATAGATTCTTATGGGAAAGGGTAAGCTACTCCCAGGCCAGTATAAACTGATTTGTGAGTTCTCTTCTGCCCAAACCTCCTCCTGTTTTCCAGTTCCTGGGAGTGCTCTTAACCCCCAGCTGCTTTGTTTTGTTAGGAGTGCCTTGACTTAAGCTTGGGTGGCAGATGCCTGCCATTCACCCTACTTTCTGTTATGTTCAAGTGGGTGGTAGTGGAAGGTTAGCCTGGTTTCTGCCCAACAGTTATAGCCCAGCAGGTATGCCCCAGCAGGTGACCATCTGTGTCTGGGACAATCTGTCTGTTGACTAAGAAGCAATCTCTGGGGCAGCTGACCTCCTCTGGCCTGTATATTTACAGGAAAAGGCTTGAAATTGCACAGGACCTTGGTGTAATCCAAAGTATGTAATAATGTTTTGATGAAATCCATTTTCAAGAAAGTAAGTCCAAAGCAGAGTGTGACTAAATGCTGTCAGAATTCTGTCCCTTGAATGGCTCTTCTCTTTGCTCTTCAGGTGATAGCAAAAGGCAAGATCCTTCTCAGTGGAGAGAAGAAGGTGCCAATTACTCAGCATGAGAGTGAGTAGAAATGCATTAAGTGCCTCATAACATATCACAGAAAACTGTGACTGCTCTCCAGTGACAATCTCTTCTTATCCACAGGTGGGAGATATTGAACTGAGTTCTTAGTGTTGGTCCATCTCATCAGACCAACATAATCTCTTCTCATACCAGTTTAGGGTCCTCCTAGGTGATTGTCCTTCTCCTATCTAATTAATCTAACACCTGACCTTATGACTTTGCTGCTAGCTTGTACCTTTGGAGAAGATATAAAATTTGTGTAGCTTGCCTGTTTATATAACGTGCAGTAGGGAAGTGGAATAATTTTGCCAAACTTGAGCCAAAGAAATGGCCGGTATCCTGGATTTATTGCTAACCTCTGACAGTGTCTGTGTGGGGTATTCTCATCTGCAGGTAGAAAGTATTAAATACCCTTTGTCGATTCTTACTGTGTGTCCCACCTCAATAAGCTAATTCAACTGAATGCTTTCCCTCTCTTCCTTGCTGCTATCTTGTGCAGATTTGCAGGGCTCCTTCTCATTGTCTCTGCCTGTTGGCAATGACTTCCTGCCTGACATCAAGCTTCTACTGTATGCAGTCTTCTCAGATGGAGAGGTGGTGGCTGATGTGGAAGAGTTTCAAATAGAAAAGTGCTTTAGGCACAAGGTTAGTAGAAACACCAAGATCAGGATAGCATCTCTGATGTGCTCTGGCCTGCTGTGATCCCTGGTCCTGTTTTATACTCAGCCAAGTGATGTTAGCTGGATACTTCCCAAAACAGATGTCTAGTATTTTTGGCTGGGAAACAAACCACATAACCACCTTCTTCTCTGAGTTCCTAGTCCTTCCCTTCCCAACACTGACTGGTAACCCTTTCGCAAAGTGTAAACCGGGCCCCCTTATACTCTGTTTTATTCCCCTGCTCGCCATGACTGACTTAGGAACACACTATCCTCCATGTTCTCCCTGACACAGAGGAGAAGCCTGCCTGCTTATCTCCCTGTGGTAGGTCTAGATCAAAAGGTGGTGGATGTGTGGTGGTAGAGAAATTCTGGCTGGGCTGTGTGCACTGCAGCCCCAGTAATCTTCCCAACGGGTTTCCAGGAGGGCCTGTCTCAGCATCTCAGCCCCCTTCACTGCCTTGATCTCTGTCTTTACCTCTGCTACCTACATGTCTAAGAGTCGCAGGGTCCCATTCCCCAACACTAAGCCCCTTTGACCCTGTCTTTTTTTGCAGGTGGCCCTGAGCTTCTCACACAAGGAGGAAGTCCCAGGATACACAGTCAGTCTGGACCTGAAGGCTGATCCAGGGTCCTTGTGCTCTGTCCAAGCTGTTGACAAGAGTGTCCTCCTGAAGGAGAACAATACTTTAACAGCAGAAACAGTGAGTGTTATCTGTGATGACCAGACCCCTAGTATCTGCCTGCTTTCTGTCTCCATGTGCTGGCGAGAAGAGTTCTGCCCACAGCCCATCCCAGGACACAGCTGCAGCGTCAGGCAGCTGCCCTGGCATTCCCCCTGCTCGGCTTCTTCAGAGCAGCCATGTGGTGGTCATGTTCCTCATGCCTCACCCTGCACTGTGGGCCTTGGCCTGGAGAGTGGTGGGTGCTGCACAGCACTGCAGAGGTTGGAGGAGAGAGCAGCTTCAAAGAGATACTGCAGCTTTCTGCTTGGAGGGAGAGTTCACAGCAGCTTTCCTCACGTCCACTTGTCTCTGCTCTTCCATATTACACCAGGCAGTGAGGCTCAGCCTTTGAAATGGAATTTTGCCCCAGCAGGGCCCTCTTATCCCTCTGTCCCAAACATTGCTGGATTACAAACATAGGACAGATCAGGCTGAGCACCTGAGCAGTTCTTTAGAAAACAGTAGCTAGGGGTCAGCACCCAGTGCACACAGTGGCTGGGGAAAAGGGCTCAGTATTTGGTACACATTCTTAGAATCTAGAAGGGTTGAAGGAATTTACTTTAAAGCAGTTGAGTGTTTCAGAGGAATTAATTTAAGCCTTAGAACAAAAATACTACAAGAATTGAAAATTCTAACGTAATTCCACAATATATATCAGAGATAATACATATGTATATGCCTCATGCAAAGTTGTGAGTTAAGTTATAGCAGGCTAGCCTGTTACAAAGAAGCTTCACCAAATCCAGGGAGACTTGCTGCATCTTTAGATAGGACCCACCATGTCTGGTGTTCTATTTTACAGGAATGATGCTCTACAGTAGGGCACTTGCATCATGTACTAACAGGCACATAAAGTAGTAATCATTAAATGTGTAAGTCAGATGTGTCAACGACTTGTACTCAAGCTGAATTATGCATTTGATCCTAATCTTGCACCCTAGACTTAAAAGGTTTGAACTGTCAGAGGTGAAAGTCTGCAGACTAAAAGCTTCTTGCCTACATCCACTCCTTAGGCTTCATATCCTTCAGTAAAAGCTGGACCAGTGTCAACTTCCTCAACTCCAAAGCTTTATGAAGTACAACAGAGGGCTATAATCCAAATATTTAACCCATACTCGTGCCCATTGTACAGTTCCTTATGAAGACCTCTGTTTTTCCATTGCAGCTTTCTGAGAAGCTCTTTGAAGACAGCTTTACAATTGGAGGACGAGGGTTCCCTTACCACTTGGAAGACTTTGAGGCATACCCATGCCTGCTCCAGGAGCCCAGTCTTCACAAAAAGGTTTGGATGGGAGCACCATGGTACCAAAGTGATGCAGACGTCTTTAATCTGTTTAAGGTGAGTCTCCACACTTGCTCTAGATGTCTCCTGAGCTGAGTTGCCAGTATGCCATCCTGAATGCCTACAAGAATTCACTCTTAGCAAACTTCAGTTACCCTTATTTTCATTGCTACAAGTCTTGCCTTGCTTGTCTACCCAGCCACACTCATTTGGGGACCACAGGGGGAAAAACGAAGCTTATGAATAAGCATAGTACAAAACTCTTGATTAGAGACAGTGTAAAAATTAATAAACTTAGTATAGGCTACCATATCTACAAAGAAGGAGTGGCAAGAATATCCCACTGAGGCCTGAGCACCTCACTATATTTTGACCAATTGCAGTTTAGCTGTTATTTTATTCAAAAAGTCATTTACTCTGTGTTTCTTTGAGTCTCTTGTTACTTCTCCTCAAAGCAGTTTCAATAAAAAAACCAAGTCCTTCCTTTGGCTTTGGAGCTAACTGTCAAGGCAAATGGCAAAAAAGCTCTCAAGCACAATAGCCTGAAAAAGATTAACATTTCTGCTACCTGGAACCCAAGCAGTGCTGCTTCTGAAAGAATGCTGTTTAAAGAAACATATTCAAGTAAAAGCACCTCAAAATAGGAAAAGAGGGTAACAACATGCTGAAAACAAGCCAAAATGATGTCTGAGTTGCATGGGCTTCTCAGGCTGATAGAGCTCTGCCTTAGAAATACTGACACTGATTTCCCCCAAAGGCATGGTACTGTGCTGTCTTCTAGGTTTTTACTCCTAGATTATGTTGGATGTTAGTTAAAGGACATCCCAGTATATATCAATTATTAGTGACCCTGTAACAGATGACTGTCCTGTAACATATGACTAAGTCCACAGGCATCTACAGCCTCTACAGAAAGCGTGAGGACTCGTACTCTCCATAATGAGTTTTAGATTTTCAAGAAAGTAGCAGAGTTCTCAGTGACTTGCAGACCATTAAATGGAAGCAAGACTTGCTCACATGATCAAATGCATTATTTTGGTGTGATTATGTCTTCTTCTCAGTCCATGTACATGAGGGTGCATTCAGTCCAATATTTCCACCTTGTGAAGCACCGGCCCTGAGAGTCTGAGTCTCATTCAGACAAAAGCAGAATCCATATAAAGTTGGGATCAAGTTCTCCATCAGTTTTCTAAGTCAGGACTGGTACCAACTTGTGCAAGAACAGCTTTGTGTGAACACTCAGTCAGATCTTTCAACTGTAAAATTGTGTAGAGATTTAAAGCTTGGAATTTTTTTTTCACTTAAGTTTTTCATGCAAATAAATGGCATTTGACTCTGGCTAGTTGTTTGGGTTAGGCATATAAAGTTGAAATTTACTTTTATGAGAAGTAATAATTTGCCCCAGTGTTCCTCAGAAGCTGGTTTCCATTCCTTCTGCATTGGCCAGAGTCTGAGTCTGTAAGTCTAGGCATACGTATGAAACCAAAGAGCATTTAACAATGTTTCAGCTACCAACAGCCCTCTTATGATACCTACTATCATGACATATTTTTAAACATTCTTAATTCCCTTTTATTTATCATTGATTTACTCTTTTCACTGTTTTCTTAGACACTGCGCATGAAAATATTAACGAATGCTAGAATCAAGAAACCAGTTTCCTGTATCCTACCACGCTTTGAGAAAAAGATGTATGGTGAAAGCAGCAATGTTTTTGGTAAGGAATGAACATATCCATCTCCTTAACCTAAGGGGCTGTCTTCTCCCAGTTCTGGCCAGCCTGCCACTGAGATGGCTGACATCTGTCCTACAGTGTTTCTTGTTTGTGTATGAGAGAAAGGAAGCATGTGTCCAGATCAATGATCCTGACTTATCTACCACAGATAAAAGCTCAGATCTCTCTGCATTGTTGGCTCAGCCTGTGTTCTGTGCTCTTTACCAAAAAATGTAGTTTGCTCTCTACCAGCATGTTCACAGATTATTTAAAAGAGCTCAACTCCATTTGAGCATGCTGTCTTCTCCTGGAGCCAGACAAAACTTGCTGGATCTGTTAGCCTAAGCCTCATGCTAAGTTCCATCCAAGTCTGTCTCTCTGTAGCCAGGTTCCTCAAAGATACAGATGCTGTGTCAGATTCTCACTATAAAGCCAACCCTGTCCACTATCATTCTGTGTAAGCATTTACAGTTCATGTCAGATTGCCTGTGAATGAAGAATTTATTGCACCTGAAGCCACATATGCTATTTTCTGAGGTATCACTTGGGTTTCTGCAGATAATCTTGTCCTCAGTGATCCTGAACCTCACTCTGATAACACAAGGAAGCTAAAACCACGAACGTTTTTCCCAGAGACTTGGATTTGGGATTTGACCTCTGTCGGGTTGGTAACAGCCTCTACCTGCCTTCCCCAGAGAGACCCTTTGAGACTTCTGGCTGCTTCTGAGCATGTTCTCCTCTCTCTTTTCTTTCTGTAGGGATGATGGGCAAGCATCTGTTCAAGTTGCTGTACCTGACACCATCACAGAATGGAATGCCAAGGCCTTCTGTGTTGCTGATACTGGCTTTGGGTTCTCTCCTCTGACTACTCTCAGGGTCTTCCAGCCTTTCTTTGTAGATCTGTCACTGCCATACTCTGTGATCCAAGGAGAGACTTTCAGCCTAAAAGCCACGGTCTTCAACTACCTGAAGGACTGTATTCAGGTGAATATTCCCCAATTACACACTCCTGACAAAGGAAAAACTGGAGCCCAAAGGCATTTTATGTACTTTCCAGAAGCCCTAGATACTGGTATCTGGGCCACAAAGCACAGCCACGCATGTCATGATGCCTGGTGTTTGCTTCCTTGTGCAGTGCCTGGTATTAACACTATGCCAATGTGTGCTTGTACACCCCACTTCACCCAGGTGCACACCACTATCACAGAGACCCCAGCACTAAAGGTGGATGCCTGTCCTGACTGCCAGTTCACCAGCTGCCTCTGTGCCAATGAAGCAAAAACATTTGGGTGGAACTTGACAGCCACCAGGCTCGGTGAGGCTAAGCAGGGGGATGTGTGGCAGCTGGTGGGAGGAGGAGTGGAATTTGCCTGCCTCTTCATATCTCCTCCCAATGCTTATACATAGAATCATAGAATCATAAAATGGTTTGGGATGGAGGGGATGTTACAGATCATCTAGATTCAACCCCGCTGCATGGGCAGGGACATCTCCCACAAGATAAAGTTCCTTAGTGCCCCATCCAACCTGGCCTTGGATACTTCCAGGGATGGGGCATCCACAACTTCATTAGATAACCCGTTGCAGTGTCCCACCACCCTCAAAGTGAAGAATTTCCTTCTGATGTTTAATCTAAATCTCCCCTCTTCCAGTTTTGTTGTTACCTCTTGTCCTATTGCTAAAAGCCCTTGTAAAAAGTCCCTCCCCAGCTTTTCTGCAGGACCCCTTCAGATATTAAAGGCTGGTATGTGGTCTCCCTAGAGCCTTCTCTTCTCCAGGCTGAACAACCCCAACTCTCTCAGCCTGTTTTCACAGGAGATATACTCCAGCCCTCTGATATACAGCTGTCTGCTTCAAGTGCTCAGCAATGTGCCCTCTGCTCCTTGCAGGCAAAGTGAATGTCACTGTGAGCAGCATGGCAGAAGATTCACATGATCTGTGTCGTAACAGGATTGCAGTGACACCTTTGCAAGGGAGGAGAGACACAGTGATCAAACCTCTGCTTGTGAAGGTCAGTCAGACTGCATGGTGAAGAACTTGGTGGGAACACTGGGTCATTCCCTGAGGCAGTTAGCAAGATGCTAAGAGGAAGTTTAGCCTTCCTTGGAAGCAGACCAGCCTGCTGAGGCACTGTGACTTCCTTTCCTGCCTTTCTTATCTGAACTATGCTTCCTCCATCTGCAGCCTGGAGGTGTCCTACAGGAGAAGACTCAAAATGCCTTTCTCTGTGCTGCAGGTATGAGACAAAAGTCCCTGACTGCTATTGACCCATGAGAGAGGGACGCAAGGGACAGGACTACTGCAAATACCCAGAGGTGGGGGGAATTTGTCAGAGCACAAGTGCTGGTGGCACCATCCACACCTAGGAGAACAACCACTATAGTTTGTCCATGTCTGTCTTCTACTTGGCAAAGTTTCCTGTATTAAGACATTTGTTTGCTGCTGTAACCCAGTGTCATACTAAGCCTCAACTGGGTCTCCTTGGGATGTTACACTTGTGTATGATACTTCTTCCATGGGATAAATTTCTGGGTTCTGTCTTCCTCAGATAACACCATCTCTGAAGAGTTCTCCCTGACATTGCCTGCAGAAGTGCTGGAGGGTTCTGGCCGAGCCACTTTCTCTGTGATTGGTGAGAAAGGATTTACCTGCACTTGGGTCACCAGTGGGAAGAGTCTGCACAATCCTTTGGCCTTAACAATGCATTGACTATTCCTCATGAGATCTAATCATAGAATCTCAGGGGTTGGAAGGGACCTCCAGAGATCATCTAATCCAACCCCCCTGCCAAAGCAGGATCACCTAGGGCAGATCACACAGGAACACATCCAAGTGGGTTTTGAAAGTCTCCAGAGAAGGAGACTCCATAACCTTTCTGGGAAGCCTGTTCCAGTGCTCCATCACCCTCACAGTAAAGAAGTTTCTCCTCGTGTTGAGGTGGAACTTCCTGTGTTCTAGCTTGTACTCATTGTTCCTTGTCCTGTTAGTTGGCACCACTGAAAAGAGAATGGCTCCTTGACACCAACCCCTCAGTTATTTATAGACATTCATAAGATTCCCTCTCAACCTTCTCTTCTCAGGACTAAACAATCCCAGGTCTCTCAGCCTTTCTTCATAGAAGAGATATTCCAGTCCCTTAATCATCATCATAGCCCTCCATTGGACTATCTCCAGTAGATGACTGTCTCTCTTGAACTGGGCAGCCCAGAACTGGATGCAATACTCCAGGTGTGATCTCAGCAGGGCAGAGTAGAGGGGGAGAAGAACCTCCCTAGAACTGCTGGACACACTTTTCTTAATGCACCCCAGGATACCATTGGCCCGCTTGACCACAAGGGCACATTGCTGTTCCATGGGTAACTTACTGTCCACTAGGACTCCAAGGTCTTTCTCCATGGAGCTGCTTTCCAGCAGGATGTACTGGAGCCTGATGTTATTCCTCCCCAACTGCAGGACTCTACACTTGTCCATATTGAACTTCATGTTGTTCACTTTTGCCCAGCTCTCTAGCCTGTCTAGATCTCATTGAATAACAACCTCCTGGTGTGCCAGCGAGCCCTCCCAGTTTTTTATAATCAGGAAACTTGGTGATAAACTGCATGGGGTGTGATGTTTGCCTTAGGAATGTGGATGAAGTAATCTATTTAAATATTTAATTCTCTAATAAGAAATGATCCAGGATGATCTCCAAGCAGCATGTATCTCCTCTGATGTGTGCCATTGCCATCCACCTAAGTGAACCAAAACAACAATTACTCTACCAAGTATGTCTCTGTAATTCTTTTCCCTCCTTGATGCCCACTCAGGAATGAAAGCTCTCTTCACCCTCATCTTTGCATTACCTCCCTCCTCCCAGAACCTCCCTTTCTGTGCTGGCCTAATCTAGAAGGGGTCATCAGAAATCTTAATCATCTTCATTCAGTGAAGGCCTGGCTCTTTTCAGGGATCCCAGTAGAATTTAGAGAAGGCAGCAATTCCCTTTGTTTCATATTGCTGAATGTCAGTGCTTTTCCTTTCTCTTGCCTCTCTATCTCAAACTTTAGGGGACATCATGGGCCCAGCACTTGAAAATTTAGACCAGCTGCTAGAGATGCCCTTTGGCTGTGGTGAACAGAACATGGTTCAATTTGCACCAAACATCTTCATACTCAAATACTTGAATAAGACTAAACAACTGGACACACAAATTGAAGATAAAGCACTGAAATTCCTGAGAACAGGTAAACATTGTCCTTCTTCTGTTACAAAATTAAGGTGCTGTAAATGAAGACTGTGGGGAAGGATGGGGGTCTGGTGGGGAG